TTTTCTGAGCACCAGGGGAGCTGTCGCTTTCATCGTCCATCTGCGACACTGATGAAGTACTTCCGCATTCCCCGCATGCTTTGCTGGAGTCTTTTTTATGGCCTCGTAATTAGTTAAATTAGCCTCCCCACACATAGGTGGTACCTAATTTTCCTACTAGACAGAAGCAACTGTCTTTCGGGTTGCAAAGGTTGACAGCAAGCTACACAATTGGTCGAAAGCTAATTCTGACTCGGGCTGGCTTCGAACTCATGACCCTTTGGTCAGAAGTGATCTTAATGCAGCTGACACTCAGCCACTTAACCTCTTTATTGACAGCCAAACCCTTTGTCTCAAGAGCCTCACACCTATATTTGCGAACATGGAACTGGACAGTTGAGCTAATCAAAAACTCATTATCATTTCTTTAATGTTATCTTTATGGATTACGCTTCCTCCAAGGTGGGTGTCCCATATGATGATTGGTCCCTAGCCGGCCAATCCCTGACTGTCATTTCCCCACAAAAGGGAAATCCTGCCTGAAAGCCGTGACATCAACAGAATTCCCGGCCAATCAGGACACAGTTCTTGATCAATCAGAGGAGGGTGCGGGAGTTTTGAATAGCTGTTAAACTATATAAGATGTCAGACTTTCTCTGTATGTTTATGCTAGTACATTTTGAAGCATCTGCTCGTACTTGCATCCTTTTTGGCTTGTCTTCAACCTGGTATTTCTCTGTCCTGGCCCATTCGGTTTAGCTTGCTCTCGCCAGGCACAGATCCTTTTATCCACGGTCCTACCTTATCAACTTCAGGGAGAGGAACCTAGAATCATAGAGTTAGGGAAGACCCCAAGGGCCAACCCCCTTCTGCCTGGCAGAAGGACACCATCCAATCCCTCCCGACAGATGACCATCCAGCCTCTGCTTCAAAACCTCCAGAGGAGTTGTGGATAGACTCCAAGACAGTCCGTATTCCCTTGTCAAACAGTTCTGAGCACCAGGAACTTCTTCCTGATGTTTTCATTGCTTTTCGCTGGCAAGGACCCCTAAATCAAGACCCTATTATTATTTTGCGCCGTATGTTTTCATCTCTGACCTGTGTATTTTAATATGTATTTTATAGATATATGTTTTAATATGTATCTTTTATAGAAATACATTTTAATATGTGTAAGGTAAAGGTAAAGGTAGTCCCCTGACATTAAGTCCAGTCATGTCTGACTCTGGGGTGTGGTGCTCATCTCCATTTCTAAGCCGAAGAGCCAGCGTTGTCCATAGACACCTCCAAGGTCATGTGGCCGGCATGACTGCATGGAGCGCCGTTACCTTCCCGCCGGAGCGGTACCTATTGATCTTCTCACATTTGCATGTTTTCGAACTGCTAGGTTGGCAGAAGCTAGGGCTGACAGCGGAAGCTTACGCCGCTCCCCGGAATTGAACCTGCGACCTTTCGATCACAAGCTCAGCAGCTCAGTGCTTTAACCCACTGCGCCACCGGGGGCTCCCTTAATATGTGTACTTATACTTTTAAAAAAGTATTAATATGTGTACTTATACTTTTTAAAAAAAATGTTCATGTATTTTAACTGTGCTACAACCCACCTTGAGCTATGATTATTATTATAATTATTATTATGACTATTATTATCATATAAAGACTAACATTCAGAGGAGCTTTGCTCGTTTATTGATTTGGGGGCCATTTCTCGCCCCCAAAGGCCATCTAGTCCAACCCCATTTTACCTATGGTTATGTAGAGGCATAGAGTTGGAAGGAAAGGGAATCCTGGGATTTGTAATTCATTGAGGCACCAATATATATTTTTTGGCATAGAAGGCAAGGGACCTTGCCAAACTACAACTCCCAAGAATCCATAGCCTTGAGCCATGGAAGTTAAAGTGAGTTCAAACTGCATTAATTCTGCAGTGTAGATGCACCCTAGGAGTTTCTCCCTTTCTTGGAGAAACAACAGGAACAAATAGAAACAACAACAACAACAACAACAACCATAAACAAATTATCCTATTATTAACAATAATACATTATTATTATTATTATTATTAATATTATTATTGCTATTACTAGTGCATCCAATATTATTATTGTTATTATTATTATTATTATTACTAGTGCACCCATTGTTGTTGTTGTTCTTCCTGGAGCCACGAATGAAGCCCCCTCCTTCCCCTCCCTTTCGTCCCCCCTCCCAAGCGAGAAAGAGCGAGCAAAGAAAGGAGCCATCTGATTGGTCCCTTCTCCTTTCTCCCGCGTGGCTTTGATTGACAGGAGCCCCGAACTGGAGTGGCAGCTTGGAAGGTGGCGAGCCAATGAGCGTCGAGGACGCAGCTCCCTTTCCTCCTGATTGGCCGGCCGGTCTCGCTCCCACACTCTCTTACCACCCCTCCCCTCCGGCAGTCTCCAGCGCGCATGCGGAGTTTGCTTTTTCCCCTCAACCCCACGTGGGTTCAAAGCCCAGGAAAAAAAAGGGAGGGGGAAGGCTCTTTTGCCCCGTGACGTCACCGTGCGTGCGAGAGAGGAGCCATTTTGTGCTTATTCAAAGGGGGGGGGGAGGAGTGCTCCCTTAATTGCTCCCCCTCCCACTCCTGCAAATTTTGCATATGCAAAACAGGGAGCATTGCACCTCCCCTCCCTACTTTTGCATGCTTCGTTAGCATGCAAATTGACCCCCTTTTTTTGTCTCCAAAGCCCCCTCCACCTTTTGGTTGGTCCAAACTCCAGCAAATTCTATTATTATTGTTGTTGTTATGGTTGTTATTATTAATGTCACTATTAATAGTGCACCCATTATTATTATTATTATTATTATTTTGCTATTACTATTATTACAAACTCTATTATTATTGTTACTGTTATTATTAAGGTCACTATTAATAGTGCACCTATTGTTATTATTGCTATTAGTATTATTATTACAAACTCCATTATTGTCGTTACTGTTATTAATATCACATTACTAGTGCACCCATTATTATTATTATTATTGCTATTATTATTAAAAACTCAATTATTATTGTTGCTACTGTTATTATTAATGTCACTCTTACTAGTGCATCCATTATTATTATTATTATTATTATTATTATTGCTATTAGTATTATTACAAACTCATTATTATTGTCGTTACCGTTATTATTAATGTCACATTACTAGTGCACCCATTATTATTATTTCTATTATTATTATAAGCTCCATTTTATTATTGTTGCTCTTAGTATTATTACAAACTCCCTTATTGTTATTATTAATGTCACTATTACTAGTGCACCCATTATTATTATTATTATTGCTCTTAGTATTATTACAAACTCAATTATTGTTGTTGTTACTGTTATTATTAATGTCACGATTACTGGTGCACCCATTATTATTATTATTATTGCTCTTAGTATTACTACAAATTCATTATTATTATTGCTATTATTAGTATTATTATTACAAACTCCATTATTGTTGTCGTTACTGTTATTATAAATGTCACTACTACTAGTGCACCCATTATTATTATTGTTGCTATTATTATTACAAACTCCATTATTATTATTATTATTATTATTATTGCTATTAGGATTATTACAAACTCCATTATTGTTGTAACTGTTATTATTAATGTCACTATTACTATTGCACCCATTATTATTATTATTGCTATTATTATTATTTCAAACTCCATTATTATTATTATTGCTATTAGTATTATTACAAACTCAGTTATTGTTGTCATTACTATTATTATTAATGTCACTATTACTAATGCACCCATTATTATTATTATTATTGCTATTATTATTATTATTATTACAAACTCCATTATTATTATTATTGCTATTAGTATTATTACAAACTCCATTATTGTTGTCGTTACTGTTATTATAAATGTCACTACTACTAGTGCACCCATTATTATTATTATTGCTATTATTATTACAAACTCCATTATTATTATTATTATTATTATTGCTATTAGGATTATTACAAACTCCATTATTGTTGTAACTGTTATTATTAATGTCACTATTACTATTGCACCCATTATTATTATTATTGCTATTATTATTATTTCAAACTCCATTATTATTATTATTGCTATTAGTATTATTACAAACTCAGTTATTGTTGTCATTACTATTATTATTAATGTCACTATTACTAGTGCACCCATTATTATTATTATTATTGCTATTATTATTATTATTACAAACTCCATTATTATTATTATTGCTATTAGTATTATTACAAACTCAATTATTGTTGTCGTTACTGTTATTATTAATGTCACTATTACTAGCGCACTCATTATTATTATTGCTATTATTATTATTACAAACTCCATTATTATTGTAATTGTTATTATTAATGTCAGTATTACTAGTGCACCCATTATTATTATTATTGCTATTATTATTATTATTATTATTACAAACTCCATTATTATTATTGTTGTTATTATTATTATTATTACAAACTCCATTATTATTATTATTATTGTTGTTGCTATTATTACAAACTCCATTGTTGTTGTTACTGTTATTATTAATGTCAGTATTACTAGTGCACCAAATATTATTATTGCTATTATTATTATTATTATTATTATTATTATTATTATTATTACAAACTCCATTATTATTGTCGTTACTGTTATTAATGCCACTATTGCAAGTGCACCCATTATTGTTGTTGTTGCAATTATTTTACTATTCCTGTCCTCAATTGGTGTTACTCTTGCCATTGTGCGCCCATTGTGATGATTGTTGCAGTTGCGGGCGTTGTTACTGTTGAGCTGAGTTGTTACTGTTTCCAATCCGTTCTGCTCTGCAATCCCAGCGCCGACCTGCAGAGGGCAGCAGCAGCAGCAGCCTCGATGCCTGAAGCGCCTCCCTTCCCTTCTCTCCCCTTCCCGTCCAATCCCAATCCGGGTTTTCGTCCCCCACGTGGGGACCCTCTTCGGCCATTGGCTCCCTGTTCCCGAGACGCTCCTCCCCTTCTTCCTCGCTCCCTCCCTGTGCCTCCCCCTCCTTTCCCTTTCTTTCTTTCTTCCTCCTCCTCCTCCGCTCCTTCCCTTCTTTCCTTCCTTCCGCCCCTCCTTCTTTCCTTCCTCCTCTTCGGCGCGGGACTCCGGGATCCTGGTGGGTGGCTTCGGACGAGGAGGAAGAGGAGGAGGAAGAAGAAGAAAGGGGACTCCCAAAGAGGAAGGAAAAGAGGAAGAAGAGGAAGCGTGTGGTGCCTTCTTCCCCTCCGGGATCGGGGCCGGGGACAACGGGGAGCCCCCTCGGAGGGGCCCGGTAGGATGCCTGTGGATCTGATCGGGAAGGAGGAAGAGGAAGGAGAGGAGGAAGGGGAAGAAGAAGAAGAAGAAGAAGAGGAGGAAGAGCCCCCGGGACCCCGAGGAAGAAGAGGAGGAGGAGGAGGAAGAGGGGGAGGGGGGCGCTGAGACTCCTGCCTGCCTTGCCTTGCCTTGCCTTCCCCCACCGCCTTTGTCCCGCCGCCCAGGCTCAACCCAGGAGGAGGAAGAAGAGGAGGAAGAGGAGGAGGAAGGGGAAGAGGAAGGCCCGCTCCCTGCCTCCCACCCCCACCCCCCCTCCTCGCCCCGGCCGGCCGGCCATGTATCCCCAAGGGAGGCACCCGGTGAGTCACCCCTCAGACCACACAGCAGCAGCAGCAGCATGACTATTATTATTATTATTATTATTATCATTGTCACTATTATCACCGTCATCACTATCATTATCACCATCATCATCGTGGTCACTATCATTATCATCATTATTATCATCATCACTATTATTATATCATCATTATTGTTATTACCATTATCATCACTATTATTATTATCATCACTATTATTATTATATCGTCATTACTATTATTATCACCATCTCTATTATTATTATCATTATCATTATTATATCATCATTACTGTTATCACCATCATCACTATTAATATTATATCGTCATTACTATTATTTTTATCACCATCAGTTACTATTATTAGTATCATCATCACTGTTATTATTATATCATCGTTACTGTTATCACCATCATCACCACTATTATCATCACTATTAATATTATTATATCATCATTACTGTTATCACCACCATCATCACTATTATTATTATAATCACTGTTATTATATCATAATTACTGTTATCACCATTATTATTATTATCATCATCACTATTATTATATCATTATTACTATTATCAATATCAGCATCACAATCATCATCACATTATTATCATCATCACAACTATCATTATCATAATTATTGCTATCACCATCATCATTACTATTATCATCTTCATCATCACTGCTATTATTATCACCATCATCATCATTACTATTACTATCATCATCACTATCATCATCATCACTATCATTATAATATTTCTATTGTTATTATTATTATTATCATCATCACTATTATTATTACCATCATCACTATTATTATCATAATAATCACTATCATCATCGTCATCATTATTATCATCACTATCATCATTGTCACTATTATTATTATTATCAACATCAATACTATTATTCTAACCATTAATAATCATCATTGTTATCATTATTGTTATCATCACCATCATTGCTATTATTATTAGCATTATCATTATCATCACCACTATTTTTATCATCATTACTCTCATCATCGTTACTATTGCTATTTTTAGCATAATTATTCCTATTGTTATCATTACTGTTACTATCACCATCATTGTTGCTATTATTATCATCATCATTATTATTACCATTAGTATCATCACTGTTATCATTATCATCATCATTGCTATTATTACAATTACTACTATTGTTATTATTGTCATCATCACTGCCATTATTATTATCATCATGTTTATATCATCATTACTATTATTAATATTATCATCATCACCATCATTGCTATTATTACCAATACTATTATCATTATTATAATCACCATCACTATTATTATCATCATCATGGTTATCATCATTATTACTATCATCATCATCGCTACTGTTATTGTTATTATTTTCATAATTATTATTGCTATTATTATTATTATCATCAACAACATTACTATGATTATCAGCATCATAATTGCTATTATCATTATCATCATCATTACCATTATTACTATTGTTATTATTATTATTATTATCATAATTACTATTACTGCTATAATTATCATCATTATTACTATTATTATTATTGTAGTTATCATCATTACTGTTATTATTGTCATTATTATTATCATTGCCATTATTATTATTATTATTATTATTAATATTGCATGTACATCACACAGCACACAAGCACATTAGGTCCAAGTGTCTGGGATTCATCTCTGAATATCAGGCTGTCCCCAAGGGTCTAGGATATTAGAGCGATTACTATTATTATTTCTATTTTACTGACACAAAAGCACAGTATGTCACAGCAAACAAAATCTATATGCTGGATTTCGTATCAAAGAATCCCAAGTCGAACACTTCCCAAGCATCTAGGGCTGTGTGATGTATATTCCTATTAATATTTTTATAATATATTTACTAATATAGATTATTATTTCTATTATTATTATTATTATTATTATTGTGCCAGGAAAGAGATGGCCTTCTCTTTAGGGGGGAAGGACAGTTGTGGCCCACTTTCCTTCCTAGATAACCCCCTAATGTAGCCATGGCAACAGCCCTCTTAATTTGCATGGGGCCTGAACTAAGCCCCCCCCCCCATTTCTCTGCATTTTGAGGGTCTTCTTATACCAAAGGGAAATACAATATTATCTTAGGGATATAAATAAACTAATAATGATTTCCCCTTTCCAAAAGCATGGGGTGGAGGTCCTCTCTTTGTATCCTCCCCCATCTCCCCATGGGGGACTCTATTTGGGGAGGGGGCTCCCATCACAAAAGGTGTAGAAGTGCGAGCCACCCCTTTGGAAGTGCAAGTCACCACTTTGATTCCATCTTGGGTTCTGGGGGGGGGGGGGTGCTAGACTTCTTGGGTGAGTTTGAATCAGCTTGCCCCCTCCTCCTGTGTCTCTGTGGGCCTGTCAATCACTTAATGCCTCCTTTCCTCCCCTTTTTGCCCCCCTTTAGGCACCCCACCAGCCGGGTCAGCCGGGCTTCAAGTTCACAGTAGCCGAGTCCTGCGACCGCATCAAGGACGAATTCCAGTTCCTGCAGGCCCAGTACCACAGGTGAGGAAGAGGAGGAGGAGGAGGAAAAGGGAGAAGAGGAACAGGAAGAGGAGGAGGAAGAGAATAAAGAAGGGGAGGAAGAAGGAGGAGAGGAGGAGGAAGATGAAGAGGAAGAAGGGGAGGAGGAGAAAAAGAGGAAGGGAGAGATGAAGAGAAATAATAGGGGGAGGAAGAGGAAGAGAAGGAAGAAGGAGATGAAGATGAGGAAGAAGTAGGGGAGAAGGAGGAAGAGAAGGAAGAGGGGGAGGAGAAGAAGAAAAAAGAAGAGAGGAAGAGGATAAGGAGAAGAGAGAGAGAAGAAGGAAGAAGGAGGAGGAGAAGAGGAAGGGAGAGATGAAGAGAAGAATGGGGGGAGGGGGGAAGAGAAGGAAGAAGGAGATGAAGATGAGGAAGAAGTGGGGGAGAAAGAGGAAGAGAAGGAAAAGGGGGAGGAAAAAGAGGAGGAAGTGGCAGAGGAAGAGGAGGAGGATAAAGAGAAGAGGAAGAAGAAGAGGAGGAAGAGGAAGATGAGCGGGACAAAGAGGATGAAGAAGAGTAGGAGGAAGAGAAGGAATAGGAAGATGAGGAGGAATAGGTCTTTGGGAGAAAGCAGGGGTAGGGTTGGAACCCAGGGCTGGCCATTGGTTTAGGACAGGCCTGGGCAAACTTGGGCCCTCCAGGTTTTTTGGACCTCAGCTCCCACAAGTCCTAAGAGCCTCAGGCCCTTTTCTTTCCCCCCTCAACTTGTGAAGTTGAGGTCCAAAATATCTGGAGGGCCCAAGTTTGCCCAGGCCTGGTTTGGAAGCTTTCTGTTGATCCGTTCAAAATCTATCATGCTCACGTTCAAAATCTATCATTTTCTGAAACCAGCCGTTCTGCCAGGAGCTTTGCAGCCTTTTCTTCCTGCTCTGCCTCTTGTTTGGACTCTTGGGGATGCTTTTCTTCCTTTCCTTTTGCAGGAAGTGGCCCCACAGCTCTCTTGGATCCACTTCCTGCAAAAACCCTTTGCCCCCCCCCCCCCCCCCGCCTGGGAGGAAATCCTGTGACTTATTTGGGGAGGGGGGATTGGGATTGGTTTTTTAGGGATTCCCAGGTCTTGATGCCAGGGATAACCGCCCCAAACCCCCCCCAGTTTCCCCAGAACAGCTAGCACCCCCTCTGCCTATTGTTGTTGTTGTCATAATCATGGGAGCCCCTGGGGGTGCAATGAGTTAAACCCTTGTGCTGGTAGGACCGCTGACCAACAGGTCAATGGTTCGAATCTGGGGAGAGCGAGGTGAGCTCCCTCTGTCAGCTCCAGCTCCCCATGCAGGGACATGAGAGAAACCTCCCCTAAGGATGGTAAAAACATCAAAACATCTGGGCATCCCCTGGGCAATGTCATTAGAGATAGCCAATTCTTTCACACCAGGAATAGAACGTTTTCCAAATTTTGTTACATAGTGTTGTCGGAGAGCAGGTCCCAGCATCCCTCCTTTTATGGGCCGTGTTGCAATCCCACCTCTAACTCATGCTTTCATTTCCCCTCTCAGTCTGAAAGTGGAGTACGACAAGCTTGCCAACGAGAAGACGGAGATGCAGCGCCATTACGTGATGGTAAGGGAACTCCCACTTGGTTGTGCCGGGGTGCAGTGAAGGAGCTGCTTTGGGAAACTGGGGCAAAGGGACACCAACATGGAGGACCCCTCCAGGAGCTTCCTGTGAACCCCAAAAGCGCTGTGTCCCTGTTGGATGCACCCAGTTAGCACCCCAGTTGAGCCATTGAAATCGATAAGCATGTGGACAGTTTCAACAGAAAGGAAGACCCCACAAAAATGAACAAAATCTGGTTACCAGTATTACAAAACTCTGACATCAGGACAGTAAATAAAGAGCAACACTTAAAAAGTGGGGGAATTCCAGACAAGAATCAATTAGGGCCAGCTAACACCTCCCAACAAAGGATTCCCCCAGGCAGCAATCAGCCAGGCTTTAAACCTGCAAGGCCATTCAATGCTAATCAAGATGACGAATTGCAACATTCACACTTGCCTCAAGGAGACAAGGGTTCTTTCTCTCACCATGGACATTCCACAGATATATAAACTCCACTTGCGTAGTTTCCAACAGATCTCACAACCTCTAAGGATGCCTGCCATAGATGTGGGCGAAACATCAGGAGGGAGTGCTTCTGGAACATGGGCAGACAGCCTGGAAAACTCAGCAACTCAGTGCCTGTAATTTGCATGGACATAGCGCAAGGGTGCATCTAACTGGGACACCTGCTTTGGGGATTCTAGGTCTTTTGTGATAATTCCACTTGTGTTGCTTGGGGTGTGTTTGTGTTCATTCTCCACAAGTCCGGGAAATGCCTTTGCACAAGCTGAGCTCAGACGCGTTCGTCTTCACTACTAAGGAAGGCCTAGAATCCAGATGCCTTCCTTCCCTTTTATTTATTTATTTCGGACATTCATATCCCGTCCTATCTCGACCTCCGCAGAGGGACTCAGGGCGGCTAACAACCGGCACACCATAGTGCCCACAACCAAATACATAAATATACAATTTAAATGAAAACAATATAAAAACAGTATAAATAACATTCAAACAGTGAGATTGTTTTGGGAGTTGAGCTCACTCACCCTGTGGAACTCACTGTCATAAGATGAGGCTGTGACCATATCTGCATTTCTGTAATTCTAAGGCAGACATTTTCCTCTTATATAAACTTATAAAATGGGATGCGTCTCAGAATCGCAGGTGTATTATATGTGGTTGTGCTACTGGAATGAGTGTGCGTCTTACAATTGAATTATCAAAGTGGGTACCTTTAAGGGTATCTAGACTAACATGAGATAAAGCTGGGACAAAACTACCTTTGGGTCCTGTTTGTTTGGCCTCGTTCCACTCCAAACTGGGTTCTTCTGAGGTTGTTATATCCCAGCATGGACAAACTTGGTTGTATTAATTGTATTGTTTATTTATTATTGCCTGTTGTTTTTATTGATGTGTTGTTGGGGTTGGCCTCATGTAAGCCGCTCCGAGTCCCTTGGGGAGATGGTGGCGGGGTATAAATAAAGTATTATTATTATTATTATTATATTATTGTCCAGTGTTTTGGACTTCAACTCCCACATTTCTAATCATCTAGACTAGGCATGGTCAAATTTAGGCTTAAGTGGCTGAGGGGGAAAGGAAAGGGCCTGAGGCTGTTAGGAATGGTGGGAGTTGAGAGAATACACTAGGAAGGGCCAAGTTTACCCATGCCTGGGATATCCACTCTGTAATCATTCCATGCGGTTCCTTTGATCTCCTTTTTCTCCTTTTCTATTTTCCCTGGAATCTAGGCCATGTTTTCGGCCCAACCTTCCCGGCTGACCTGCCAACATGACATATTGCTCTCCCTTAGAACCCAACCCGTCCATGCCTCCCGGGCTGTGTTTACATGCCACAAGGACACGTTCCCTTTCCAAAGCGGCCTACGTTGCCCTCCCTTTGCATGCATGTAAAGGAAGGCTTCCTTCTGGGGAATCTCCCAGAGCCTTGCTTTGTCCGCTGTCCCATGAGCCCCTTGCGGTTGTGTTGCCTGTGGTGTGCGGCCACTTCTGCCTTTGCAAAGGAAGAGGAGGAAGCGTGCAAAGAGGGAGGCCCTTTCCTCCCTCCTCCTTCTGCAACCCTCGTTGCTAATCATCTGCGGTTGTTGGGTTGTTGTTGCGGCCGTTGGGCAAATGCTCCTCCGGGCAGAAGGTTAATAGCTCTGGCAGAATTGGCTCTTGGAAAGGGGTCAGTTATGCGCAGATGGAAAAGCAGGGGGAGGATTTGGGGGGGGGGGAAGGGAAGAGAGGCTTAAATGCTCCCTTTCCTAGTCGGTAGGGTAGGGACACAATGCGGGAGTTCTTTTTCAGCAGCCATTCATGCTGCCTTTGCTTTTGAAGCCTTTGAGTTGGCCTCAAGTGGGGAAGGGAAGCCCTCTTCCCATCCTCTTCCTCTCTGGGGAGCAAAATGGGGATGTTGCTCTCCCAAGGATTATTGGCTGGCCTCTTTCTTTCCTCTTTGGAAGAACTTTATAGAACTTTATAAATCCCGCTGCCTCCAGAAAGCTCAGAATATTCTCAAGGCTTCATCTCACCCTGAATATTTTTCTTTTTGGGAATTATTACCATCTGGCAGATGGTATAAGATGACAAAAACAAGGACAAATAGGCTGTGAGAGATATTTTACATCCAGGATAGACTACTGCAACGCACTCTACGTGGGGTTGCCTTTGAAGACTGCTCGGAAGCTTCAAATAGTCCAACGAGAGTCAGCCAGGTTAATAACTGGGGCGGCACACAGGGAGCATACAACTCCCATGCTACGCCAGCTCCACTGGCTGCCAGTTTGCTACTGGGCACAATTCAAAGTGTTGTCTTTGGCCTATAAAATCCAAATGGCCCCAGCTGAACTTACCTGTCCAGACGCATCTCCCCCTATGAACCATCACAGAGATTAAGATCCTCCGGGGAGGCCCTGCTCTCCGTCCCGCCATTGTCACAGGCGCGATTGGTGGAGACGAGAGACAAGGCCTTCTCGGTGATTGCCCCCTGGCTATGGAAGTCCCTTTCTCGTGAGATCAGATCAGCCCCCTCTCTTCTGTCCTTCAGAAAGATGGTAAAAACTTGGCTGTGGGACCAAACTTTTGGGACAGGGCAATAAGGCAGTGATAGGAAACTTTCCCAGGCCAATTTAGATTTGACACAGATGACTAGGACGGTTTTAAATGGTGTATTTTAATATTGAGATAAATGTTTTTTAATGTTTATGTATGTGTATATGAATTCTTGTCCCAGCATTGAATGTTTGCCGTCTATATGCTGTGCTCCACCCTGAGTCCCCTTTGGGGTGAGAAGGGCGGAATATAAATATATTTTATCCCAGAGCTGTGACTCTATTGAACTCTACGGTTTCACACTGATGTGGCAGTACAGGGTGGTGCAATAATTTATTTTCGTGTCGGGAGCGACTTGAGAAACTGCAAGTCACTTCTAGTGTGAGAGAATTAGCCATCTGCAAGGACGTTGCTCAGGGGACACTCAGATGTTTGGATGTTTTTCTATCCTTGTGGGAGGCTTATCTCATGTCCCCGCATAGGGAGTTGTAGCTGTCAGAGGGAGCTCATCCGCAATCTCCCTGGATTCAAACCTCTGACCTGTCTGTCTTCAGTCCTGCTGGCACAAGGGTTTTACCTACTGCGTCAACCAGGGGATCGGTGCAATAATGATTAATACATGGAAGGATGGGTGCTTTTGTTTTCTAATTCTACAAAGGCTGTTCATTAAAGTTTTCCCCTGACTCACGTCTATTTATCACAGGATGCTTAAACTGCACATGTGTAATGATATAAGTCTTGATAGGTTACGTGCCAATTTATAACTCTGAATTGATAACTGTCTTGATTGTACAGTTGCTGAAGTGGTGTGAGGTTTGAAAATGGACCCAGTGGAATACAGAGCAGTCCTCAGGTTCTTTTCCTTGAAAGGCTGCACACCATAGGAGACGTTTGATGAGCTGAAAGAGGTTTATGGAGATTATTCCCACTCATATGATGGAGTCATGAACTGGTGCCCTCAATTCCAATGTGGTGGGACTTCGGTGTAAACAGCTCCAATTCCAGGACAATTCCACTCTGCTATTGATGGACACACCATCCGGCAAGTGGAGGTCGCCATTTTGGAAAATCACCACATAACTATTTGCCACCTAGTCCAAAATGTCAAGATGAGTGTGGGGTCCATGGAAAAAAAATCACCCAAGGCCATCTTCACGTGCATAAGGTATCTGCTTGCTGGATCCCTTGTCTGCTCACACCTTTCCAGAAGCAGGAACGAGTCGGATGCTCTCAGGCTCTATTGACAATGATGTGCCATGGAAACTAGGAGGACTTTCTCAACAGACTGATCACACAGGATGAAAGCTGGATCCGTCACTATGATCCTGAGGCTGAAGTCCAGTCGATGCAATGGAAGCATCCTGACTCACCGCCTCCAAAGAAGGCACGTGCTCAACTCTCAGCAGGCACAGTATTTTGGGACCAGCACAGTAGTATTGATGGATTTCTTAGCAAAGGGCATCATGATCACTGGGACATACTATGCTTCACTGCTGTGGAAATTGCCATCAAAACCAAGAGACAATGTGACATGCTCACCAAAGATGTCCACCTGCCTTCTGCAAGACAATGCACCAGTTCACAACATGTTTCCCAAATGGAAGCATGCTCCTGTAGCTTTGGAATTCTCCCGCATCCCCCTGATTCACCCGACCTCACACCATCGGACTTCAACCTCTTTCAAACAAGGAAGTTATTTTTGAAGGGCAAGCATTTTTCAGATGAGGAGGCTCTGATTTCTGAAGTCACAGCGTGGCTTTTGAAGCAACCTGTCGACTTCTACAAGCGAGGTGTTTATAGTTGCTTCAAAAGACTGGAGAAGTGTGTGTCCCTAGGTGGCACCCATGGAGAGAAGGACTCATAACTGGACCAAGTTTCATTACTCTCCACAGGAAGTGGGTCAAGGGAAATCTTTAATGAACACCCCTCATACATTTATAATGTGACTGGGAATGGCATATAATTTTGTTATACGATGTGCCATGACAATAACATTAATCTATTCTATGTCAGGACTTTGCACATTGAACAAAATGTTCCCTATGTTTCTAGTGTCGCAATAACCAAAGCTACCTTGTTAATGCACATTAAAAATATGGTTCTTGCACAACTAATGTTTTGTTTTTGCTTTGTTTTTCCTCTCCAGTACTATGAGATGTCCTACGGCTTGAACATCGAAATGCACAAACAGGTAAGCACTTCCAGCTCGATTTCCCTCAACCTCTCTATTGCAGAGTGGGGCAAAAAATGGCTTGGGGTTACATTTGACTCTCCGAAAGCCATCCCTTTGGTGCCTTTCTTGTCCAGACCTCTAAAGAGCACTCCCTTCCTCTCATTTTGGCCCAAGAGTTAAGATAAAGTGTGAAGGGACTCTTTGGAAACTTGGGGAGAGGAGTCCTCCTTTAAGTAGGTTGCAAGCTTGCAACAAGTTTTAACATTTTTGGTTTTAGTGGGCTTTTCTTTGTGGTGCTTGTTGTTGTTTACCAAAGCTTGGGCATTTTGAGGATACCAGCTTTCACTGGTTTGGCATTGATGCTTTCCACACAAATGACCTCTTCTTCTATTTGTGATCCACTTCAGTGCTTGCGTTTTGCCCCAGCTAGAGTAGGCCCACTGACTCAATGGTTAGATGTCAACATCTTGGTAAATCCCATTGCTCTAGCTGGGGTTAAAAAAGGGAAAGGTTTCCCCTTGACATTAAGTCTAGTTGAGTCTAACTCTGGGGGGTGTTGCTCATCTGAATTTCTAAGCTGAAGAGCTGGCGTTGTCCAGAGACACCTCCAAGGTCCTGTAGCCAGCATGACTGCATGGAGTGTAGTTACTTTCCCAACCGAAGCGGTACCTATTGATCTACTCACATGTGCATGTTTTTGAACTGCTAGTTTGGCAGAAGCTGGGGCTAACAGCCGGAGCTCACCCCGCTCCCCAGATTCAAACCGTTGACTTTTTGATCAGCAAGTTCAGCAGCTCACCGGTTTAACCTGCTGCACCACTGGAGGCTCCCTCCCACTTAATAATGTCAAATATAAACAAAAGCTCTTGATGTCCATTACTCTGAGTTAGTTGTCCCTTGACTCCCTTTTATGGCCTGAGAGAGAAAAAAGAGAGAATGTTTGCTTATTTTGTTGTGGGTGTTGTTTATGGGGGAATTTAGCAAATGTTGTGGTGGTAGGAACTGCTCTTTGGATATTGTGGGCTCTCATTTATTGCCAGTTTCGGAGGCAGGTCAAAGGCCTACCTGGCAGGGCTGTCGTGGCACGGTTCCCAGTGCTCCCAACGAATCTGCGATTTACACTATATAACATGATTTTTGTTGCTGGGTTATAAATGTAAAAACATGGAAAAGGTTTATTAAACTGCAAAACTTTGTTCATGTTTATGCAGCATGTTTTGCTCTAGTTTTTCAATGAGTTTTTCATTATCGAATCTCAGTCAATTTAATGTGTTGTCGAAGGCCTTCATGCCCGGAATCACTGGGTTGTTATGAGTTTTCCGGGCTTTCTGGCCATGTTCCACAAGCATTCTCTCCTGACGTTTCACCCACATCTGTGGCGGGCATCCTCAGAGGTTGTGAGGTCTGTTGGAAACTAGACAAGAGATGTGTGTGTATATGTCTGTGTGTGAAATGTCCAAGGTGGGAGAAAGAACTTTTTTCTGCTTGAGGCAGTTTCAAAGCATGGCTGGTTGCTGCCTGGGAGGATCCTTTGTTAGAAGGTGTTAGCTGGCCATGATTGTTTCTTGTCTGGATTTCCCCTATTTTGAGTGTTGCTCTTTATTTACTGTCCTGATTTTAGAGTTTTGTAAAATATACAATCTGGCTACCAATATTAAAAAAAAAACTAAAATCAGGACAAGAAGTAAAGAGGAACACTCAAACAACAGGGGAATTTCTGACATGCTTAAGCGGCTGAGGGGGAAAAGGAAGGGGCCCGAGGCTGTTAGGAATGCTGGGAGTTGGAGTCCAAAACCCCTGGAGGGCCCAAGTTGGCCCATGCCTGCTCTAAACCCAATGAGAACTCTATCCATGGTTTTAAGTGGTTTCTGGCTGGCTGTTTGCCTCCAATAGCGAGGTGCCCCTGGCCACTTCTCTCTCTCTGTTATCCCCAACCCACTTGGCCTTGGTTTCCCCTTGTGTTCCTCCTGGCAAATCCACCATAACCGATTGTGCTCCGCTCCCAACATTTCCCATCCCTCCCCAATCCTGGTAATAACATTTCTCTTTTGCTGCTGCAAATAGCTCTTGCAAATCGCAGCCGCGGAGTGCTTTGGAGAGGCTGCCTGAAGAGGCTCTTGAGCGGCGGGGAGACAGCTGGAAGTGCCCCTCATTGTCTCCCCGAGAGAGAGCCGCCGCCGGGGCTCAAGGGCCTTATTTTCATCTGCTGAGAGAGACAATATTCGGCTTTCAACAAGCTTTGCAAGAGGCTCTCCGGTGGAGGGCCGACCCCTTCCCCTTCCCCCTCCCATTTCCTGGCTTTTCCTGCTGGGAGGGGTCTATAGGGAAAGCAGGTGCAGTAGCAATTGCAGCTTCCTTCCAGGAATGGGGTTTTTACTCCAGCCATATACATTAATTAATTAATTTATTATGTACAGTATTTGTATACCGCTTTTCCCACCCTGAAGGGGACTCAAAATGGTTTACATATAAGTAATGGCAAAATTCAATGCCAGTACAAACAATTACAATTATACACTACAATTAGACATAAATCAAGTTAAAAACAATACATCCACAAGCAATAAAACAATAAATAAAACAGTCTCGTCCGTCAAATCGCCGTATATATGCTCTTGATAGCGTAGGGAAGTGTGCCAGTGGTTTCAGTAGGTTATGATGGGTCTGTGTGCCAAGTTGGGTCCAGATCCAACATCAGTGAAGTTTATTTATTTGTTTATTGGAGCCCCCGGTGGCACAGTGGGTTAAACCCCTGTGCTAGCAGGACTGAAGATGGACAGGTCGCAGGTTCGAATCCAGGGAGAGCGCAGATGAGCTCCCTCTATCAGCTCCAGCCTCCCATACGGTGACATGAGAGAAGCCTCCCAGAAGGATGATAAAACATCAAAACACCCGGACGTCCCCTGGGCAGCGTCCTTGCAGATGGCCAATTCTCTCACACCAGAAGCGACTTGCAGTTTCTCAAGTCACTCCTGACATGACAAAAAAATAATTTATTACTAGTCGTCCCCTGCCACGCGTTGCTGTTGCCCAGTCTGGTGATCTGGAAAATAAAGTAATGAGAAAGAGCTGGTTTCTAATATATGTAATTTCGTGTGGACAAACAGTATTTCTTGCTGTTTCTTTGTCAGTGTTGATGTGGAGATTGTCTGGTTTGCCTATTCTGGAACATGCAACATATTCTCCTTCTTTAGGGGTCCCTTTCAAATTTTTGATACTATATCTGTGTATGTGTGAATCATATCTATCTATCTATCTATATCTATGGCTGGATGGCTCTTTGTCAGGAGGGCTTTATGCTTTCTTGCCCTGGTGAAGGCAGTTAGACTGGATGGCCTTAAGTATTTTCTGTTGGTCATGGGGGTGGTGTGTGAGAAGTTTCCCCCAATTCTATTGTTGGTGAGGTTCAGAATGCTCTTTGTAGGTGAACTATAAATCCCAGTAACTACAATGCCCAAATGTCAAAGTCTATTTCCCCCAAACTCGATCTGTGTTCATATTTGGGCATATGGAATATTCGTGCCAAGTTTGGTCCAGATCCGTCTTTGTTTGAGTCCACAGTGCTCTCTGGATGTAGGTGAACTACAACTCCCAAATTCAAAGACAGTGCCCACCAAACCCTTCTAGTGTTTTCTGTTGGTCATGGGAGTCCTGTGTGCCATGTTTGGTTCAATTCCATTGTTGGAGTACAGAATACTCTTTGATTGTAAGTTAACTATAAATCCCAGCAACTACAACTCCCAAATGGCAAAATCAATTTTTTTGAGTGATGGTTGCTCCTTGGGTTAGTAGGTGTCTTGGGGCCAAAAAGTACATAAATGAAAAGTGCAATATTACTGGCTGTCTAGCCTTATGCAGAAACAAATTCAGCGAGCACAACACAATCGGAAACCTGTCCATAGTCCAGTTTCCGTAACATTATCATTACTACCATTGCCAATTATCTGCCCGCTACCCAAAGGCCTGGTCCCATAACCACGTTTTCAGTTTCCTCATGAAGGCGAGGAGGGATGTTGTTGACCTGATTTCATTGGGGAGCAAGTTCCACAGGCAGAGAGCCACCACCGAGAAGGCCCTGTCCCTCATCCCCGCCAAGCATGTTTGCGCCAAAGTCGGGGCTGAGAGCAGGGCCTCCCCAGATGATCTTAAATTTCGAGGTGGAATGTAGAGGGAGATACGTTCGGATAGGTAAGCTGGGCCAGAGCCATATAGGGCTTTGTAGGTCAAAACCAGCACTTTGAATTGTGCTCAGAATTAGACTGGCAGCCAATGGAGCTGACATAACAGAGGAGTGGTATGCTCTCTGTATGATACTCCAGTGAGTAGTCTAGCTGACACCCGTTCGACTAATTGAAGTTCAGAATGCTTTCTGGATGTGGGTGGACATCATGCTGGGTCAAACTCTGCCAGCGTCAGACTACACAGAGAAGCCATTGAAATCCACAAGCATGTGGACCATTTCAACAGAAAAGAGGAAACCATGAATAAGAACACAATCTGGCTACCAGTATTTAAAAACTCTAAAATCAGTAAATAAAGAGCAACACTCAAAAACAGGGGAATTCTAGGCAAGAAACAAACAGGGCCAGCTAACGCCTTCCAACAAAGGATCCTCCCAGGCAGCAACCAGCCAGGCTTTGAAGCTGCCAGGCCATTAAATGCTAATCAAGGTGGCCATTTGCAACTTGGGTCCAGATCCATTGTTTTGGCCATGACGTGGTTCTCTGGATGTGGGAGCCATCCTGAAAAATACATACATACATATATAGATGCACAGATATTTTGACTTTTATTATATACATAGATATTTAGACAGATAGATGGTGGATAAAGTAGACCAAAATTTTGGTATAACCCATGGATAAGTCAAGGGCCTTCCATGACGAGGGGAAAGCACAGTGCTGACTTAAAGTGATAGTGTCTCCACTTATGAGTCAGAAGTAGCAGAATGGCAGAGAGATTTGGTGCTTATTTTAAGCTCTCGCCTTTTGCCCTCTATTCAGACAAGGAACTGATTCTTTTTTTTAAAAAAGATGTTGGATAAAGGTCAAGGGACATTACTCACATTGACCTATGGATAAGTTGACCCAGGATTCTTTTGGAGGAAGTTGTACCCCCTTCTCACCCAAAAGAACAGTCCTTTAGTTCTTCTAGTGTTCCCCTGTCTGGTACAGCTCATGGTGTTGGTGATGGTGATCTTGACTTATGCTATGTAACAGGATATTTGTTCCTGGGCTATAAATGTCATTTCTTAATGGGTTGTATTACAAAAACATGGAAAAGGATTTTGAAACTGCAAAAACGTTGTTTTTTGGGAGGGACATCCTGCAGCACATTTTGCAATATCCCGCAAAGTCTCAACCAATTCGACCTAGTTTGTGGCAGCCACAGAAACAAATTTATTAGAGTAAAAGAACTGCTTTCACGTTTTTATTATTTATTTATTTCGTATACTTCTACCCCGCCCTTCTCAACCCCCGAGGGGGGACTCAGGGCGGCTTACAAAAAGGCACATCTTGGTGCCCACACAAATACGATAACATATAAAAACAGCAATTCAATGGTCCACAATTAAAACAATTAAAACAACAATATATCTCACAATCGATATCCAATCTCAGTCACAGTGTTCGCCAACTCAGAGTCCATATTTCGTTCCACATTGTCCATTCCTATCCGTCGTCACAGTCCTTTATTCATCTGCCAGATTGCCCAAACGCCTGGTCCCACATCCATGTTTTTAATTTCTTTCTGAAGGAAAGGAGGGATGTTGCTGATCTAATTTCCCCGGGGAGTGAATTCCATAGGTGAGGAGCCACCACTGAGAAGGCCCTGCTCCTCGTCCCCGCCAATCTCACTTGTGACAGAGGCGGGGCTGAGAGCAGGGCCTCCCCAGAGGATCTCAAACTCCAAGGTGGGACGTAAAGGGAGATGCATTCAGACACTTTCAAACCAGAAACAGATTATTTTTCAAATGTTATTACATAATGATATTACCGCCCCCCCCCCCTTTTTTTTCAGGCTAAATCCCAAAACAGATTTAGGAGAAATTTGGAAAGCAAAGTCCTGCCCATTGGTGCTGCTGGCAAGGAAACTTCCAGTGTACTCATCTCTCTTTCTGGGCCGCTTCTTGGCAGGGCCTTCCTGCATCCTCTGCCATCTCTTGGCTTGGCATCGGTCACAGAGACCCCCCCCCCCTTTTGCCACCTGTTCCTCTATTCTCCCCATTGCCTCCCAGTGTTAATTTGCAGACTGGAGTCTTAAGCCAGGGAGTGTAATGACCCTGGCACTGAAGTGGTGAGGATATCATTTTGCAGTGGAGGAGAGCTATTTGCATGCCATTCTGACGGAGATTAGGAGGGGGGTCAAAGGGTTGTCTTGGCAACGGGAAGGCAAGGTGGGGAGGGGGACTCTTAAGGAAGGAATGGGAGGGATGAATGGGAGTCACATGGCTTGCAATATGGGCAGGTAGCCCATTCCTGTTGGGGGTCTCTACTTGGCCTGGTGTGGGTCCTTAAATCTCTTGTGTAATATTTAGAAGCCAATGTTTTGAAATTGAGACTCTCTGCTGCAGAGATGGGATGTACATTTATGCTTTGCACAATGATTGTGCCACATCTTCTCCCACAAGGTACTGCAACTCCCATGTGGCTGCACATTCCGTGAGCATCCAGTGCATATCGTGCACAATAGCATCACATGCACAGCCCCTCTATGAACAAAATACAGCCATTCTGACTCATAGGATAATAGAGTTGGAAGGGACCACATGGGCCATCTAGTCCAACCCCCTGCCATGCAGGAAAAGCACAGTCAAAGCACCCCTGACAGATGGCCATCCAACTTCTGTTTAAAGACTCAGTCAGAAAAATCCAGGTGTTCGTGCATCCAAAGCAAAGGGTTCTCCCCACAACATTGGGGCCTTCTTAAAATTGGAAAATGAAGATGCTTGTGGCTGTGCTTAATGTTTAGACAATGTTGTTCTTGGGTTGTTGTAGGTTTTTCCGGGCTATATGGCCGTGTTCTGGAGGCAATTTTACTCCTGACATTTCGCCTGAATCTATGGCAAAAATTGCCTCCAGAACATGGCCACATAGCCCGGAAAAACCTACAACAACCCAGTGATTCCGGCCATGAAAGCCTTCGACAATACAATGTTGTTCTTATTTGTTCAAAAATGATAATGGGCTACTCTGAATGACCAGAAGGGATTCTGAAGCCTGTGATCCAGTTCCAGAGTGTGTTTTTGCCTAGCTGGTTAGCCTTGTTTCTGGGTTATTTGGAGACCTTGTTTACATTGGAACTGAAAGGTGTTTTAACAGCTGTCCTTGTCCAGGAAGGACTGCCCTTCAATCTCTGCTCTCAGCCTCTGGGCTCTGTATTTAAGAAGAACCAAATTCATGATATCTGCAATTGATCTTTCCCAGTCCTCTTCTAAGGGTGTAATTTGATTGCAGGAGTCCCTTTTCCACCAACACAGACTCTTGGGAGTCAAGGTGGAAAATCCACTCTGCGATGTAGTCTGAATCTCAAAGAAGCTATCCAAGGTGATATGTTTATGTGGCTAGAGTTTGGCCCCTTGGAGTTCTCGCCTGGCAACTTTGGGACAAGATAGAGACCTAATAAAAGCGCTCTCCAAGTAGAGTGCATTCTGGATCATGCTCCTACCGTTTTGCCCCAAACCCAGCATGAATCATAGAATCATAGAGTTGGAAGAGACCACATGGGCTATCCAGTCCAAGCCCCTGCCAAGAAGCAGAAAAATTGCATTCAAAGCACCCCCGACAGATGACCATCCAGCCTCTGTTTAAAAGCTTCCAAAGAAGGAGCTTCTACCACAATCCGGAGCAGAGAGTTCCACTGTTGAACAGCTCTCATAGTCAGGAAGTTCTTCCTAATGTTCAGATGGAATCTCCTTTCTTGTAGTTTGAAGCCATTGTTCCGCGTCCTAGTCTCCAGGGAAGCAGAAAACAAGTTCGCTCCCCCCTCCCTATGACTTTCTCTCATATATTTATACATGGCAATCAGGTCTCCTCTCAGCCTTCTCTTCTTCAGGCTAAACATGCCCAGCTCTTTAAGCCGCTCCTCATAGGGCTTGTTCTTCTTTGCTGTTTGTTCCCTTTTCGGCTTGGGTTCGTGGGATCTGTGCCTTTGCCGATAAGAAATCCTCGAATTCTGGACCAGAATCACTGAGTTGAAAAGTGTTCCAAAAGTCCCTTTGTGCAACCTGCTGGTGATGCAGGAATCCCATCTGAAACTTTCTTGAAATAGCTGGGCAACAGACCGATGTAGGAATGGTCACTACTCCTTCGAAGTTAAGCTACTCTATGTAACATTTTTTAAAAAAAATCACTGCCTGGTAACTTCCTGTTTAATTGTTTATTTTGTGCACTTACTATGAAAAACTTGATTTTTGTGATGCCACAAACAATGTTGAATTGGTTGAGAATCTATGAAATATTCATTTAAAAACGATTGAAAAATGTGCGGCTGCTGCAGGATGTTCCACAAAAACAAATGTTTTTCAGTTTCATAAACCTTTGCCATGTTTTTATGAAATTAGAAATAACATTTAGAATTTAGGAACAAAAACTGGGGGGTTTTTTGGCGGGGGGGGGGGGGAATATGGCTACCAGTTTTAAAAAATCTCTAAAATCAGAACTGTAAACAAAGAGCAACAGTAAAAATCAGGGGAATTCCAGACAAGAATCAATCAGGGCCAGCTAACATCTCCCAACAAAGGATACCCCTAGGCAACAACCACCCAGGCTTTGAAGCTGCAAGGCCATTCAATGCTAATCAAGGTAGCCAATTACAACATTCACACTGGCCTCAAGCAGACAAGAGTTCTTTCTCCCACCTTGGACATTTCACACACAAACATATACACACACCTCACTTCACTAGTTTCCAACAGAGCTCACAACCTCTGAGGATGCTTGCCACAGATGTGGGTGAAACGTCAGGAGAGAATGCTTCTGGAACGTGGCCAGACAGCCCAGAAAACTCACAGCAACCCAGTGATTCCAGCCATGAAAGCCTTTGACAACAAATCTTTGTTCTCTGCCTGAGGAGCCATTTGAGTGCCATCCTTTTCCCTTCAGCTCTTTGTCCAGGAGGCCATTGCTAGGCCTTAGCCTTAAGTATGAGGAATGCGTTTTGCTGCAAGGTTGCAGACCTTTTCTTTTGCAAACTGCTTCTGGGGTCTCTCTTGCTTTCCAAGATGCTGCTATAACTGTGCAGTGATGAATCTGCTCTCTTTCCTCTCTCCCTTTCAGACAGAGATTGCAAAAAGACTGAACACGATCCTCGCCCAGATCATGCCTTTCCTATCCCAAGAGGTAAGCAAGCGCTTTTCGGGTGCTGAATGGGAAGGACTCTTAGGAGGAACCCTGAAGTTGGCTTGGACCTGAAGGGTTCTTGTACCGTGGAACCCGCTTGTGGAGAGACAAGTGAGGTATCAATAAACACCATAATAATAGTAATACTGATAACAACCCAAATCCCCAGCCCTTATGGTGCGCCTCCTTTTGCCTCCTTCTCTCTGCAGCACCAACAGCAAGTGGCTCAGGCTGTTGAGCGTGCCAAGCAGGTCACCATGACGGAGCTGAACGCCATCATCGGGGTACGTGGAGTTCCCAATCTGCCTCTCACCGTGTGTATACCCCTTTATTCCTATCATTTACTGTAAAGCAGAGACCAACCTGTCCTTGAGAGGTGTTCCGAGAATGGAGGCGCTTGCAAATGCAAACCTAAAGTGCCCAAACTGATATCCTCTGCGTCCTGGCGTTTCCAACAAGCTTTGGACATAATAATACATTATTATTAAATACTTCTAATAATAATAGGAGCCCCCACTGGTGCAGCAAGTTAAACTTATGAACTGCTGAACTTGCTAACCGAAAGGTCAGTGGTTCGAATCTGGAGAGCAAAGTGAGCTCCCCCTGTTAGCCCCAGCTTCTGCCAACCTAGCAGTTCAAAAACATGCAAATATGAGTAGATGAATATGTACCACTTCTGCGGGAAGGTAATGACGTTCCATGCAGTCATGCAGGCCACATGACATTGGAGGCATCTCTGGACAACACCAGCTCTTCAGCTTAGAAATGGAGATGAGCACCACCACCCCCCATAGTCGGACACGACTAGATTTAATGTCAAGGGGAAACCTTTACCTTTACCTTAATAATAATCCATAACTATTAAAAAGTGCTCCCTATAGAAAATAGAGAATCAGTGGTGGGGGAAAGGAAATATCTATTGAGTCCAAAATATTTAGAGTTGTTTCTTTTGGACTTGGCACTTCCTGGCAGGGACATATTTTGTATTTTGCCATTTACTAGATTTTTTTTTTTTTGGTGTGTGTGTCAGGAGCAACTTGAGAAATTGCAAATCGGTTCTGGTGTGAGAGAACTGGCCGTCTGCAAGGACGTTGCCCAGGAGATCCCAGATGTTTTACCATCCTTGTGGGAGGCTTCTCTCATGTCCCTGCATGGGAAGCTGGAGCTGACCAATGGGAGTTCACCCCGTTCTCCAGATCTGAACCGCCAACCTTTCGGTCAGCAGTCCTGCTGGCACAAGGGTCAGCTTTTTATGCAAATTGGGCTCATGCTTGAACTTTTTTTTCATGGTGCGCATGTAATGCCTTCCCATTTTTGGAGATTTGGGATGCCCCAAAGCTTCAAGAGGGTGCCAGCAATGCTTTCCTTCAGGCTTCAATGCACTCCTCCTCTTGTTCCGATTCCCATTGGCCTTCCTTTGCTCTCCCTTCTTCTGGCCTCACAGAGGTTTGGTCTGTCTCTGATTTACTACAAGAGTGAAATGTGATTGGTGTGTAATTTTGCGTAGTTTCGATGTTTTCACTTGAATTTGATGTAGATATTCTAGATCTCAGAGGATTTGTGGTGTATCAAATCAATGTGTTCCAAGCCGAAACCCTCCAGATTGAAGACCATAAAGTCACCAGCTTTCTCTCCATATATGTTAGCTGGAGTCACTGATGGGATGATGTTTGGCCATTTGGGGTTGTACAAAAGTGGACCCTTTATTTATTATTAGTCTCCTTGTTCTTCTGCTGCCTCTTTGGTTTATTTAACAGACATTGGATGCTGGCAGCCATTTTTCCAAACTGTTTTAAATGTAGGTTTATCCGGTCTAGTACCATATCTGGATTTCTGACTGTCAAAAGTGTGTCATCCACAAATAAGTTAATTTTGATTTCGTTGTCCACTCCCATTCCTTGTATTTCTTTATCCTTCCTAATTGCAGAGGCCAGTAATTCCATAACTAATATAAATAGTACCAGAGAAAGAGGGAAGCCCTGCTTTACTCCTTGCATAATACTAAAGGTTTCAGTACTTGAATAATTAATTATGACTTTAGCCCTATTTTCCATTAATTATGCCATAAAGGAAGACATCATCCAAGTCTTCTCAACAGATGGCCATTCAGCCTCTGCGTTCAGAACATCAATACAGAATTAAATGGCTAGGATGGGTACAATTCGTGACTGGGACCCTTGCATCCTCCACAAGCTCTTGAGATCAATAACACTATGTAACACAATTTTTCTTCCTTGGTTATCAATGTCATTTCCTAATTGGATCTATCATAAAAATACGGAAAAGGTGTATTAAACTGCAAAAATAATGTTTTGGCAAGAAGGACATCCTGTAGAACATTTTGCTGTAGTTTTCCAGTATCTCATTGAGTCTCAACCAATTCAACGTAATTTGTGGTAGCCACAAAGACAAATTTTCTGGAGTAGAACAACTATTTTCAAAGTAAGAATCACACAATTAAACAGGAAATTATACTTTCAAACTAGGAACAGGAGATGTTGGATAGTGTAATTGCCTTCCTTCTTGAGCTCCCCATCTCTCATCTCCAAGCTTTGCAGCAGGTGTCTGTGGCCTAAGCTCTGTGTCCAGAAATGACTGGATTGAATTCAACACAAGCGGTGAACCCTTAAACCGCCAACAGAGCAGGATGGAGATAATCCCATTTAGAGACTGCCATGTTGTGATCTAGCAACATAGTTCCTCTTTCACAGGACTGTCGCTTCCAAATATCCGCCTGGCACACAGGCCAGCTCTTTGGGGTGATGCCTTCGACTAAAGAACGGTGGCCCGCAGGTCCACTTTGTTGGCCTGCGCTCAGCGGAAGTCACCCAAAGCGTGGGCTGTCCGCCTTCTCTCTTGCCTTGCCCTGCCTGCCTGCCAGTCTGTGGCATGCCCTGCGAGGTAACTGATCCCTGTTAAGCGATCTTCCATAATCCGCCGAGATGAGCTATCTATGCAAGGTTGAGAGGCTTCTCTATTTCTGGCCACCACCATGATTGGTATCGGTTACCTATTTAGCTCTCCTTTGGAGCGAGGAAATACACACACACAGCGTAGCATGCATGTGCTCGTTGCAACACACACAATTATAATCCAGGAACAAAAAATGTGTAAAATGGTGCTATTTCTTTGGCAGGTCATGACTCTGTTCCATCAAGACCAGGCATGGACAAGCTTGGGCCCTCCAGGTGTTTTGGACTTCAACTCCCACAATTCCTAACAGCCGCATAAGCGGCTGAGTGGGAAAAAGAAGGGGCCTGAGGCTGTTAGGAATTGTGGGAGTTGAAGTCCAAAACACCCGGAAGGAAGGCCAAAGTTTGCCCATGCCGGCTCTATGAGTTGTTGACTGGGAAACTATAGCCAAATGGGCCGCAGGATGTACTGCCCGCAAAAAAAAAAGTTTGTGCAGTTGAGCTAGACCAGTGTTTCTCAACCTGGGGGTCGCAACCCTTAGGGGGTCAGCAGGGAGTGTCAGAGGGGTCACCAAATACCATCTGAAAACACAGTATTTTCTGTTGGTCATGGAGTTTCTGTGTGGGAAGTTTGGCCCAATTCAATAATGGGTGAAGTTCAGAGTGCTCTTTGACTGTAGGTGAACAATAAATCTCACTGACTACAACTCCCAAATGTCAAGGTCTGTTTTCCCCAAACTCCACCAGTGTTCACATTTGGGCATATTGAGTATCGGTGTCAAGTTTGGTTCAGATCCATCATTATTTGAGTCCACAGAGCTCTCTGGATGTAGGTGAACTACATAACTCAAGGTCAATGCGCACCAAGCCCTTCCAGTATTTTCTGTTGGTCATTGGAGTTCTGTATGCCAAGGTTGGTTCAGTTCCATCATTGGTGGAGTCCAGAATGCCCTTTGATTCTAGGTTAACTTTAAATCCCAGTAACGACAACTCCCAAATGACAAAATTATCCCCGGCCCCCACCAGTATTCAGATTTGGGCATATCGAGTATTTGTACCAAATTTGGCCCAGTGAATGAAAATACATCTTGCCCATCAGATATTTACATTACGATTCATTAGTAGCAAAATTACACTTATATTATGGTTGGAGGTCACCACAACATGAGGAACTATATTAAGGCTCGTGACATTAGGAAGGTTGCGAACCGCTGAGCTAGACCATCCAAATCTTCTAGGAAGCATGATTTATGGAATATATATGTGGCTTGCCACCCATTATGAACCCAAGTCCCGACTCAGAAGGGGCGGCTGGTGGCTCCCAAGTCACTGGGAACAACAGAACCCAAGTTTCCATTTGCTTTTCCATGGTCTCCATGATTAACATACCATTTCAAACCCTGCAGAAGAAAAGGTTGAAAGGAGACATGAGATTTTATCTTTCTTAACCATAAGGAAAGCTGTTCAAAAGGGGAACTCTCTGAATCAGAGACTGTTGGAGGCACCTTCTTTGGAGGCTTTTAAGCAGAGTCTGGATGGCCATCTGTCAGGGGTGATTTGATCGTGCTTTTGCTGCATGAAGGCAGAATGGGGTTGAACTGGATGGCTTTTGGAGTCCCTTCCGACTATATAATTCTATGATGCTCTTCTCTGCTGGGCAAGAGAGCCTCCATTGACCACTGCACATCTAACTTTGACTACTAACCTCAAATCAACCCTGCCATGTGGATCCCTACTCCATTCCTGGCCTTCTTCTTTTTCTATATCCACAAATACGAATATTGATGCATTTATTTTATATGGATACTTGTTTTAGTTTTACGAGCTGACATGCTACTTCAGGTGCCTTTAGAGCCCTCTTGCCTATGCAGCCAGAATAAATACTCTATTTACTCGAATCTAATGCTCACCTTTTTGAGATGAATTATCTTGCTAAAATTAAGGTATGTGCAATACAGGAATCTCAGTGTTGAGTCATAGCAGCAACTGTAATGCACACCTTTTTTTTGGGACAAATTACAAAGAGTCCACTTTTGACTGCTCCGCATGACATTCGGAAGCAAAAAGAATAAGAATAAGAGGAGGGAAAGAATTAGAGGAGGAGGAAGAATAGACGGAGAAGGAACAAGAGAAGGAGGAAGAACCTTTTTTGGGTTTCAGGGTTTTGAAAATTGAGGTGCGCATTGGACTCGAGTCAGTATGGTCTCATTGTGTTGAGGTGTTCCCCCCTGCCCCCACCTCCTTCTAGCCAACCTTTGGGTGTTTTATTTGTCACTCATCCTACTTTTCCTCCTCCTCCTCTTTCTATTCTTTCTCCTTTTCTTCCTCCTTTTCTTCTTCCCCTTCTATTCCTTATCCTCTTTCTTTCTCTCCTCCTTCTATTCTTCCTCCTCCTCCCTTATTCTTCCTCCCCTTCTATTCTTCCTCCTTCTCTTGTTCCTTCTCCGTCTATTCTTCCTCCTCCTCTTATTCTTTCCCTCCTCTTATTCTTTCTTTCCATCTTCTATTCTCTTCTTCTCTTCTTTCTCCTCCTCTTATTCTTTCTTTCTTCCTTCTATTATTTCTCTTCTCCTTCTATTCTTCCTCTTCCTCTTATTCTTTTCCTCCTCTTATTCTTTCTTTCCTCCTATTATTTCTCTTCTCCTTCTATTCTTCCTCTTATTCTTTCCCTCCTCTTATTCTTTATTTCCTCCTTCTATTCTTTCTCTTCTCGTTCTATTCTTCCTCCTCCTTTCTCTCCTCCTTTTATTCTTTCTCTCCTTCTTCTATTCTTCCTCCTTTTTCTCCTTCTTTCTCTCCTCCTTCTATTCTTCCTCCTCCTCCTTTTCTCCTCTGTTTATTCCTCTTCCCCTTCTATTCTTCCTGCTCTTGTTCCTTCTCCATCTATTCTTCCTCCTCTTATTGTTTCCCGCTCCTCTTATTCTTTCTTTCCTCCTTCTATTCTTTCTCTTCTCCTTTTATTTTCCCTTCTCTTATTCTTCCTTTCTTCTATTCTTTCTCTTCTTCTATTCTTCCTCCTCTCCTTATTCTTCCCCTCCTCTTATTCTTTCTTTCCTCTTTCTATTCTTTCTCTTCTCTTTCTGTTCTTCCTCCTCCTTTCTCTCCTTCTTTTCTTCTTTCTCCTCCTTTTCTTCTCATTTTATTCTTTCCCCCTCCTCTTATTCTTTCCTCCTCCTATTCATTCTCCTCCTTTTTCCCCTCCTATTCTTCCTTCTCCTTCTGTTCTTTCTCTCCTCTCCCCTCCTTCTCCAACTAACCTTTGGGGTATTTTGCTTGCTGTTCCACCTCCTGCTCTTACCATTGGTTCTCTTGCAGCAGCAGCAGCTCCAGGCCCAGCATCTCTCGCATGCGGCGCACGGACCTCCAGTCCAGCTCCCTCCACACCCCTCGGGCCTCCCTCCTCCGGGGATGCCCCCCTCCGTGGCAGGCAGCGGCTCAGGGCTTTTGGCCTTGGGGGCCCTTGGTGGCCAGGCCCACCTGGCGGTTAAGGACGAGAAGAACCACCATGACCTGGACCACCGAGGTGAGCAAGAGGCATGTGGCCATCTTCTGAGAGAAGAAATGGATGGGTTGACATCATCTTTTTAGATTCTCACTCTCTCGTGTTCTCTTTTCCTTGCTTTTCAAATTGGCTTCCTTGCGATTTGGGCGCTGTTCTGGAAAGATCGGGACTCCAGTGCGGTAAGTCTCTCCCTCATTGTTCGCTTTGACACCACAATGTTTATTTGGGTTGAATCAAATGTGTAAAGGGCTTTCTTTGCACTCTGATATCCAGTACTGAGGGCTGTGTTTCCATTCTCCTTCATCAGACATTTAAACACAAGGGCCCTGCATGGCTCCCTAACAGAATAGAGTGCAGAACATCCAGTGCTATCTAGATGGTAGGAAACAGGAGGGAACATGCACATGGTGCTCCGATAAGGTTCAAAAAAGGTTAAATGATTGCAGGTAATACATCCCAGATAAAAGAGTATATAGACAAAAAGGAAGTTACCTGACTTTGGTGGGAGAGTACTCAACGCTGAGTCTTATGTTTGTTGTAAAGCATTTTGATGTAGAGAGAAGCCTCATGATGTTCCCTTATCCAAACAAAGAGAAATAAAGAACTAAAATTTTTTGGGAAGAAGAAGGGAAAAGTGAGCTATAAATGCATCCAGGAAGCAAAAACACCCTGTTACATTATATAATAATAATTATTATTACTAATTATTACTATTAATTATTATAATAATTAATAATTAATTATAAATTATTATAAATTATTATTGGAACCCCTGGTGACACAGTGGGTTAAACCTGCTGAACTTGCTGACTGAAAGGTCAGCTGTTCGAATCCGGGGAGCAGGGTGAGTTCCCTCTGTTAGCCCCAGCATCTGCCAACCTAGCAGTTCAAAAACATACACATGTGAGTTGATCAATAGGTCTGGTGGGAAGGTAACGGTGCTCCATGCAATCATGCTGGCCACATGACCTTGGAGGCGTCTATGGACAATGCCAGCTCTTCGGCTTAGAAATTGAGATGAGCATCAACCCCCCAGAGTCGGACTTGACTAGACTTGGAATCACACTGTGTCCAATTCTGGGCACCACAATTGAAGGGAGATGTTGACAAGCTGGAATGTGTCCAGAGGAGGGTGACTCAAAGGATCAAGGGTCTAGAGAACAAGCTCTATGAGGAGCGGCTTAAAGAGCTGGGCATGTTTAGCCTGCAGAAGAGAAGGCTAAGAGAAGACATGATGAGGGTCATGTATAAAGATGTGAAGGGAAGTCATAGGGAGGAGGGAGTAAGCTTGTTTTCTGCTGTCTTAGAGAATAGGACACGGAATGATGGCTTCAAACTACAGGAAAGGAGATTCCACCTGAACATGAGGAAGAACTTCCTAACTGTGAGAGAGAACTGTTCAGCAGTAGAACTCTCTGCTTCAGAGTGTGATGAAAGCTCCTTCTTTGGAGGCTTTTAAACAGAGGCTGGATGGCCATCTGTTGGGGCCGGGGGCTTTGAATGCGATTTTCCTGTTTCTTGGCAGAATGGGGTTGGGTTGGATGGCCCATGAGGTCTCTTCCAACTCTAGGATTCTATGATTCTAAGCAAAAAGCAAAATCACCCTATTACATTATTATTATTATTATTATTATTATTATTATTTGAAACACAACAAGATGAGTCCACAGCAGACAAGATCACTCTGCTAGTTATTGTATTGGATCACACGTCGGACACTTCCCAAGTGTCTAGGACTGTGTGATGTATTGGCGAATAATACGTGCAGATCCCAGTAAGGTGGCAGATGGTAATTTTGTCAGCGCCGGTTATGTTTAAGTGCAGGCCATGGTCTTTAGGCACTGCACCCAGTGTGCCAATCACCACTGGGACCACCTTGACTGGCTTGTGCCAGAGTCTTTGCAGTTCAGTCATATTGTGTCAGCTTTTCCACTTATTTCTCTGCTGTCACTTGGAATTGCAACATTGATGATCCATACTTTGTTTTTTAACACAATTGTGAGGTCAGGAGTATTGTGCTCCAAAACTCTGTCTGTCTGAATCTGGAAGTCCCAGAGTAGCTTGACGTATTCATTCTCTGTTACTTTTTCTGGCTTGTGATCCCACCAGTCGCAGGCAGATGGTATTATTATTATTATTATTATTATTATTATTATTATTGCTATTACTAGTGCATCCAATATTATTATTGTTATTATTATTATTACTGACACAAAAGCACAGTATGTCACAGCAAACGAGATCTATATCCTGGATTTCGTTTGCTGTGACACACTGTGTCTAATTATTATTATTATTATTATTTTACTGACACAAAAGCACAGTATGTCATAGCAAACAAGATATATATCCTGGATTTCGTTTGCTGTGACACACTGTGTCTTCTTCTTCTTCTTCTTCTTCTTCTTCTTCTTATTATTATTATTATTATTATTATTATTATTTTCTCTGCCTCTCCTTGTGGCTCAAGGCAGGGTACAATGGGTTCAAACGGAGCAAATAAAACACAATTCTGTTAAAATTACATATTGCAAAGTACACACAAGAGCACACCAATAAAATGTAGGTTAACATTGACTGGGTAAATCTAAGGAAGAGGTGGAAACAGGACAGCAGACGTGCCACACGGGGTTCTCCCTGTCCCCAGTTGCTCTGGATACAGCTCTTTTTTGCTGTTTGCTGAGCTTTGAGCTTCTCCCTCCTTGATGACTGAAGATTTGGTTGAAGCCTAAGCAGAGAACAGCTGCTCCTTTGGGGTGAAGTGCAAAATCCTCTGTCAATTAGGAGCGCAATTTGGTTTCCCTGGAGCTCTTCTCTTATCTTGGGGGAGGACTGTGGCGGATGGATTTGGAAGGTCGGGCGGCTAACTAGCCATCCCAAGGGGGGCAGAAGAGGGGCTTCTCATGTCCAGGCCTCTGCCTTTGTCCAAGGCCTGTGGGAGCATTAATGAGCACGGTTCCTTCTCGACTCAGACCAGGAAGGCTTCGGCCAGAGACTTTGCACCAAGTGCAGAGCGGCCACTGTTAACCTGCTTCAAGAAGGAGGAGGGTACATTGAATATATATCTATATAAATAAAAATGTAATGTTCGTTTGTGGGATTAACAGAACTCAAAAACCACTGGAGGAATTGACACCAAATTTGGACACAAGACATCTAACAACCCAATGTATGTCCTTCACTCAAAAAAATGATTTTGTCATTTGGGAGTTGTAGTTGCTGGGATTTATAGTTCACCTACAATGAAAGAACATTCTGAACCCCACCAATGATGGAATTGAACCAAACTTGGCACACACAACTCCCATGACCAACAGAAAATACTAGAAGTGTTTGGTGGGCAGTGTCCTTTGGTTTTGGAGTTGTAGTTCACCTACATCCAGAGATCACTGTGGACTCAAACAATAATGGCTCTGGACCAAACTCTACAAGCATACTCAATATGCCCAAATGTGAACACTGGTGGAGTTTGGGGAAAATAGAACCTTGACATTTGGGGGTTGTAGTTGCTGGGATTTATAGTTCACCTACAATCAAAGAGCATTCTGAACCCCACCAACGATAGAATTGGGCCAAACCTCCCACACAGAACCCCCATGTGGGCCACAGCAACGCATGGCAGGGGACAGCTAGTATCTATATAAATAAAAATGTAATGTTCGTTTGTGGGACTAACATAACTAAAAAACCACTCAATGAATTTACACGAAATTTGGACACTACACCCCTAACAGACCAACGAGTGACCATCACTCATAAAATCTCCCCCAAAACAGCCGCTTAAGCAGCTGAGGGGGAAAAGGAAAGGGCCTGAGGCTGTTAGGAACGGTGGGAATTGAACTCCAAAACCCCTAGAGGGCCCAAGTTGGCCCATGCCTGCTTTAAAGGGCATTTGTTACTGCTGTGCATCTGTGTACCAACATAGCAACAATAAACATCCCAAGGATGGGGCTCATTTGTCTGAGATTGATTCAAGCAGAAGTTGGAAATTGACTTAGCACTGAATGGCCTTGCAGCTTCAAAGCCTGGCTGATTCCTGACCAGGGGATGCTTTGTTGGGAGGTGTTAGCTGGCCTCAGTTGTTTCATGTCAGGAATTCCCCTGTTGTTTGAGTGTTCCTCTTTACTTGCTGTCAGGATTTTAGTTTTTTTTAATATTAGTAGCCAGACTGTTCGTTTTCATGGTTTCCTCCTTTCTGTTGAAGTCGTCCACATGTTTGTGGATTTCAATGGTTTCTCTGTGTATCTGAGAACATGGAAATGCAAGGCCCCTCTTACAACCACCATGTCAGGCAACACAGAGAAGCCATTGAAATCCAAAAACGTGTGGATCATTTCAACAGAAAAGAGGAAACCATGAAAATGAACACAATCCAGCTACCAGTATTTTAAAAAACTCTAAAATTAGGACAGTAAATAAAGAGCAACACTCAAAAACAGGGGAATTCCAGACAAGAAACAATCAGGGCCAACTAACACCTTCCAACAAAGGATCCTCCCAGGCAGCAACCAGCCAGGCTTTGAAGCTGACAGGCCATTAAATGCTAATCAGGTGGTCATTTGCAACATAAGGTGGTCATTTGCAACATTTACACTTGCCTCAAGCAGACAAGAGTTCTTTCTCCCACCCTGGACATTCCACAGATATACCTTTAAAATCAGGGCTAAAGGTAGCTTAGAAATGGCAACAAACACAGTGCCTCTTTGGTGTCTTGCTGGGGTTTGTGTCTGGGATCCCCCTCCCCACGGATCCCGTGCAACACATGCATAGACACGACCTAAGAGGCCTGTTTCAATTCGTGGCGGGGCTTCTTGGAAGCTGGCCCCAAATCAATACCTTCAAAGGCCAGACGCGGTTTCTTTGGGGGAGCCGAGGCCCTTTTCAGCCTGAGTGGCCCCGAAGAAAGGAGGCGGCCTGATTGGCAAAGCGGCTTATTGGGGCTGCCGGGGGGGGGGGGGGGGGGGGGGGGGGGGGGACACGAACCGCCGCCCGGCTTTGGCTATTCAGACAAGAATGGAAAGAGAGGGAGGGGACAAGAGGGGTCTCTTGGGAGCATCGCTTTTCTCTCTTTGAGGGATTTTGGGGAGTATTTAAGGGGGGGAAGGGGCAGCAGCTTTGCAAATGTGACTAGCAGGTTGCCCCTTTGTAAGACCCTCTCCCTCCCTGTGTTTATACGGGGTGGGGGTTAGAAAGGGCTTGGAGCCTGGGCCTCTTCCAGTATGCCATGGCAACCAAAGTTGTGCAAAACAGGTACCTAATGTTGCCGTTTGAGGAATCCTCAGTTTGAGATGGTGAGCCAAAAAAGGGCCCATATCATCACCCCACATGACCCCTACTTCTCTCCTTGACCAGCCCTATCTATTCCAATTAGTAATGTGCCTGCACAACGAAATGCGCTGGGCCCATAACCCTTTTGTTAGAGAAAACTACCCTAAATTATAGCAGAGCATCCAAAAAATATAAACAGGACACACAAGTTGAGCATCGACTCATTAGGGAGCAGCGTTAAGTGCTGTGTAATGTGGCTGTAAAGAGTTAAGAGCTTTGGAGGCAATCATGCAGAGTCCAATCTTTAAAAGTCACAAAAGGTTTATTTACAAACATAATTAATAATTTCTTAGTAATCAAGAACTGTGTCTGAGCTACTCTAACACCCATCTCTTCTAAAGTTGCAAGAGAGGGAAAAACTCAATCACTACATCTCTCCTGACACACAAACAGAGAGAGATCTCAAAGCACACAGCACATACTCTCCATACTGAAGTGTAAGAAGGCAGAAAGCAGATTCTAAAAAGGCTTGCAGTCAAAAAGTATTAATTTTCAGCAACTAATCAGAATGAGAGCAGAAAGAGAGAAGAGAGACATGGGGGAAGGGAAACCCTTAGTCTATACTAAGCTAAATAACTACTCCTCATTGAGGACTTGGGCAGTGTGGGTTTGAATTCCAACACCCACAGGAAGCTGCCTTATATGGAAGTCAGCTCTATCTATAATAATAATCATCATCATCATCATCATCTTTAATTGTACCCCGCCACCATCTCCCCGAAGGGGACTTGGGTGGCTAACATGAAGATACAATACAGCAAAATAGACTAAAAAGCAAAACAAACAAACAAACATCACAATAAAATACATAAAATAACAAGATAAATGTTTTTGTCATGTCAGGAGCGACTTGAGAAATTGCAAGTCGCTTCTGGTGTGAGAGAATTGGCTGTCTGCAAGGACGTTGCCCAGGGGACGCCCTGATGTTTTGATGTTTTATCATCCTTGTGGGAGGCTTCTCTCATGTCCACACATGAGGAGCTGGAACTGATAGGGATCATCCGCGCTCTCCCTGGATTTGAAGCTGCGACCTGTCCTGCCGGCACAAGGGTTTAAGCCACTGTGCCACCGGGGGCAAGATAAAATAAACAGTACAAAATAACATAATGGAAAGTCGAACACAATGGGCGGGCCCATTGGTCACCTCTCTCCAGTGACTCTGTTGATTTCCTGGGTTTTTTTCCTAGATTGGAAATGTTGGAGACCAAACCTTCTGCAAAACCATAACTTGAGAATTTGCCCCTTTTCAGAGCCAAACCCTAGATGGAGCGCATTGAACCTCATGCTGTTGGCTCTGGATGGCAGCAGTGTTCAGACCTCATGGGTTCCTTGCTCTTCTCAGCATTGGTCGGCATTATTCGCTTGACCGGCAAAGGGCTGACTAGGCCAGACCAGATTAGCCTCTGAAACCAAGTGAAACTGGAGAGGGTCAGGGTGTTGTTACATAAATATGTAAGTTTTCTTTCAACAACCATCTCTCCTTTCTTCTGTTCCAGAATAACTCCATCTCTCCATCAGAGAGCTTGAGGCACAGTGAGAAGCACAGGAGCTCCTCTGACTATGGCATCGAGCCCAAGAAGCGCAAAGCTGAGGAGAAAGACAGCATGAGCCGATACGTAAGTCTTATGAGGTGCCGATCCATGTGTGGGCCAACCCTGGTTGGCCTGAATAAGATGCCGGGCCAGAGGGTCCTTTTGGGCACCTTTGGGCCACCTTTCCCACCCGGGGACGCAGGAGGCCTCCCTTTGTCTTTTCCAACAGAGCAGTTGCTCCTTTTTTAGGACAGTGATGGAGACAAGAGCGACGACCTGGTGGTGGACGTCTCCAACGAAGTAAGTGTTTCCTTCTTTCCCATCTGATCTCTGCGCCAAATTCCCCACATCTCAAATACACACATGTCCGCACTTTAACTGCTGTGACTCCATCACCCTTTTGGTACCCCAGAACCTGTTGTTTGTAGTTCTGCAGTCTAATCTTGCACTTCAAGGGGGAGCAGGAGGGGAGTTGTGTGGGGTAGAATACAATAAATACCCTCTTCCCTTGCAGGATCCTGCCACGCCCCGGGTGAGCCCTGCCCACTCGCCTCCTGAGAATGGGATGGACAAAGGACGGGGCCTGAAGAAGGATGCTCCAAACAGCCCGGCCTCTGTTGCCTCGTCCAGCAGCACCCCCTCCTCCAAGACGAAAGACTTGGGCCACGTAAGTCATGCGAGAGCTGATTGGGAGACATTGGAAGCTGCCTGGGAGGGACCCCCATGTTAGCAGAGCAATGAATCTGTTTCACAATTTTGCTCATGCTCTAATAGAATTGTCCAAGGTGCTGATTCGGTTTTGATAGAGATCTCATTCATCGCATTGCCAGTATTCGGACTGAACTCAAGAATGGGTTCTCATTTAGACCTAGAAAGGGCAAATGGGTGTATGAAGGGGTGATTGAACAACATGTATCCTGTTTTCTTGCTTTCTGGATTGCTGCGGCTGATGTTCCACATCTCACTATTTCTCAAAGGAGGGAATGGGTTTGGGTCACTTAGTGGGTTTTTCGTGCTTGTTTGCTTTTTTTCGTGTCAGGAGCGACTTAGAAATTGCAAGTCACTCCTGGTGTAAGACAATTGGCCATCTGCAAGGACATTGCCCAGGGGATGCCTGGATGTTTTACCATCCTGTGGGAGGCTTCTCTTATGTTCCTGCATGAGAAGCAGGAGCTGACAGACGGGAGCTCACCCTGAATTTGAACCACTGGCCTTTCAGTCAGCAGTCCTGCCAGTGCAAGGGTTTAACTCATTGCGCCACTGGAGGCTCTGCTTGTTTGCTACTTGGAGGCTTTTGTGGGATATATGTTGGGCTGAAGAGTACAGTTCTCGCCTTCTGAGAATGATTGGAATATGCCAGAGGGAGGGATAGGGACCGCATCAAACCCAGCTGAGACTAAGTCCTTTCCCCCTCTATTCTGAAAAGCAAAATCTTAGAATGAGATCCCCCTGTGCCCAAGCCTTTCCCCCTCTGCTGTGGATTTCTGATTGTGAATTGCCAAACTGTCTCTCAATCAGTCCTTTTTGGAGCAGAATGACAAGTCGTCCACCCCGGGGCTGAAATCCAACACTCCTACCCCGAGGAGCGACGCACCAACCCCCGGGACAAGTACCACTCCAGGCCTCCGACCGATGCTGGGAAAGCCTCCCGGGATGGACCCCTTGGGTACGTTGACCCTTTGTGCTTTCACTGGCTTCCAAAAAACTCTTGGCCGGTGGTGCCCATGTCAGAAGAGCAGCAAATCCATTCCAAGCTGTGGCTGGATTTCAAGGACTTCTCCAAGGTGCCGAACCCAGGTCACCACCACTTTCAGCACCTTGGAGAATTCCTTTGAATTCTGCATTGAAATCTGGAGTTTTTTAATGTGGGCACAAGCCCTTTGTGGATTTCAGACCTTCCTCTGCATGCTCCCATAAGCCTCAGGGATGGACTTCTTGGGTATGTCAACCCTTTGCGCTTTCACTGGCTTTCAGAGAAGTCTTGGCTGGTGGCTCCCATGTCAGAAGGGCAGCAAATCCATTCCAGGCTTTGGAGTTCTCCAAGGTGCTGAACCTATTTAACAGCATCATTCAGCACCTTGGAGAGATCTCTTGAATACTGCATTGAGATCTGGAGTGCATTAATGTGGGCACAAGCCTTTTGTGCATTCAAACCTTCCTCTGCTTTGCTCTTTCAGCCTCTGCCCTGCGGGCGCCGATCTCCATTGCGGGCTCTTATGCCACCCCTTTCGCTATGATGGGGCATCACGAGATGAACGGCTCCCTCGCCAGCCCTGGGGCCTACGCTAGCCTCCACAACATCCCTCCCCAGATGACTGCTGCTGCTGCTGCTGCCGCCGCTGCCTATGGACGTTCCCCCATGGTCAGCTTTGGAGCGGTAGGAACACCTTTCAGAGCCTATCCTTAATCATCTGTCCCACAAAGCAGACTGCAACACTTTTAGGAATTCCAAAGACTTAGTGGTTTGAGGAATAATCCTTGGGAGGCGGGATCTATTCTTTTGACAGCCTTCAAGAATCAGCTGCTTTGGATGAACTCCCATTATTGAACTATTGGTCTAGAGTTTGGAAGGCACTATACTATACAAATAAATGAGAAGAAAATAAAACTGGCAAAAGGCAGTCACGTACAGCATTTCCATCTGAATCCGCAATATTTCCACTGGGTTTCTCTTCTCTTGGGGTCTATGGGGGTCTTTCCTCCCAGCCTGAAGGTCTTGCTTTGCTTCCAGGTCGGCTTTGACCCACATCCGCCCATGAGGGCCCCTGTCCTGCCCACCAGCCTGGCCTCCATCCCTGGCGGCAAACCGTGAGTCAAACCCCATCTATCTTTCTCCTCCAAATGCTTAATGTTTTATTTATCTAAAGCCTTTCTTCTGATGCGTGAGGCCTGTTTGAAGCTCTTAACTTAGATGGAAGGGTTTCAAACTTAATTTAGATGAAAAATAGATAGATAGTTGGCCTTCCACATTCACAAAGAGAGAGAGAGAGAGAAAATTGGCCTTCCACATTCACGAAGACAGAGAGGCATATCTCTAGAGTTGGTCTTTCACATTCAGAAAGATAGAGAGATAGAAGGATAGAGTTGGTTTTCCACATTCAGAGAGAGAGAGAGAGAGAGAGAGAGAGAGAGAGAGAGCTGGCCTTCCACATTCATAAAGATTGAGAGAGAGAGAGAGAGAGAGAGTTGACCTTCCACATTTACAAAGATAGACAGACAGACAGATAGCTAGGGTTGGCCTTCCACATTCACAAAGATAGAAAGAGGGGGGGGGGAATGATAGATAGAGTTGACCTTCTGCATTCATATAGATAGATAGATAGATAGATAGATAGATAGATAGATAGATAGATAGAGAGTTGACCTTCCGCATTCACAAAGATAGATAGATAAATAGATGGATGGATAGAGTTGGCCTTCCACATACACAACGGTAGATAGATAGATAGATAGATAGATAGATAGATAGATAGATAGATACATACATACATACATACATACATACATACATACATACATACATATATATATGGGGGGTGGGCGGAGGGACAGACAGACAGATAGATAGATAGAGTTGGCCTTCCACATTCACAAAGACTGATAGATAGATGGATGGATGGATGGATGGATGGAGAGAGAGAGAGAGAGAGAGAGATGGAGTCACATAACAATTTGTCAGTCAGAAGGGGTTCCCAAATGGGAAAAGTGCCCAAAGTCCTGTCTGTTCAGCCTTGGAGTGTCTTGTGTACATGTGTGTGATTCTGTTTCGCCTCTCTCCCCGCAGAGCGTATTCCTTCCATGTGAGTGCGGATGGACAGATGCAGCCAGTGCCCTTCCCTCATGACGCGCTGGCCGGCCCTGGCATCCCCCGCCACGCACGGCAGATCAACACGCTCAGCCACGGGGAGGTGGTCTGCGCCGTGACCATTAGCAACCCCACGCGGCACGTCTACACGGGGGGCAAGGGCTGCGTCAAGATCTGGGACATCAGTCAGCCGGGCACCAAGAGCCCCGTCTCCCAGCTAGACTGCTTGGTAAGCGGTTGGGAGGCACGTAATGAAAGCATAGAATAATACAATTGGAAGACACTCACAAAGGGGCCATATAGTCCAACCCACTTCTGCCTTCATGCAGGAAAAACACAATCAAAGCACCCTCAACAGATGGCCAACCTCTAGGGACTGCCGAGAGGTTTGGGGGTGATTTGTTGAGCCTTATATAATGCAGCTCAGTGCAGTTCAACTGCATGCAAGTCCATACTAACTGTATAATGCTGTTCTGTATAATGCTCCAGAATCGGGATAACTACATCCGCTCCTGCAAGCTGCTGCCGGACGGCCGGACACTGATTGTGGGTGGAGAGGCCAGCACGCTCACCATCTGGGACCTGGCCTCCCCAACACCCCGCATCAAGGCTGAGCTGACCTCCTCAGCCCCCGCCTGCTATGCTTTGGCCATCAGTCCCGATGCCAAGGTCTGCTTCTCCTGCTGCAGCGATGGCAACATCGCCGTCTGGGATCTCCACAACCAGACGCTGGTCAGGTGAGACGACACCATCCAAAAAATGCCCCTTGGTTCATCTATTCCCAATGCTCATTGAGCAGAATTCATACCTAGAGTTGTTGATTAGATCTGGGACCTTCTGCTGTGCATAGGGCACTCTGCCTTATTTTGGGTCTGATTGGCGGCCCCAGGCTCCATGTGAGGCTCTTTGTTGGGGAATCTGAGCTGTTAGGCTCAAAAATAACCCTCAGTTGGGGTGATTCCACCATAAATATAGCAGAGTACGGAAGCAAACTTCATAACCAGCAGAAACTTACATGTGATGAGCTAGAATAGGCTTCTATTTCTTAGGATGGCACAGGATTGCAGAGTCAGAATTTTAGGTTCAAAAATACTTATCGTAGTAAAAGAAATATATTCTTGATAGAAAAGGTCTTGGAGCTAACTAGCTTACTAAATCTCATATTTTAAGAAGTTAAAAAGTCAAAAAAATCCATGCAGCTACATTTTGCCTAGAGGGAGAGGCAAAATGTGCATCCTCACCGGAAGGAAGGAAAAAAGCAGAAGAGACAATGGTGATGAATGGCCACATGGCCAGCCTGATCTGATGGGTCTCTCATAGAATTACAGGGTTGGAAGAGACCCCAACTTTGGGGCCATCCAGTCCAACCCTCTTCTTTCTGCCAGGTAGGAGAAACACAATCCAAGACCTCCCAACAGAGGGCCTCCCAGCCTCTGCTTAAGGAAGGAAGGAAGGAAGGAAGGAAGGAAGGACGGAAGGAGAATCCACTGCAGTATATTTTGCTGCAGAACAATTCCGACCATCAGGAAGTCAAGATCTTAAACCATATTTGGGCAAACTTTGGCCTTCCAGATGTTTTGGACTTCAACTTCCACAATTCAGGAATTGTGGGTGTTGAAGTCCAAAACATTTGGAGGGCCGAAGTTTGCCCAGGCCTGACTTAGACCATTTTGGTTGCCTTACTTCATGTTTTGGGGTCAGGAGTGGGATTTGCTCTATTCCCCAGCCTCAACTTGAAGTCCAAAACATCTGTAGGGCTGAAGTTTGCCCAGGCCTGCCTTAGGCCATTTTGGTGGCCTTGTTTCTCCATGTTTTGGGGTCAGGAGTGGGGTCTGTTCCATTTTGCAGTCTCAACTGCGTTCCCTTTTCCAGGCAGTTCCAGGGCCACACAGATGGGGCCAGCTGCATCGACATCTCCCACGATGGGACCAAGCTCTGGACAGGGGGCCTCGACAACACAGTTCGTTCCTGGGACCTTCGGGAAGGGCGGCAACTCCAGCAGCATGACTTCACTTCCCAGGTAAGAACACTTTTGAACCCGCCCTCCGTCACCTTTGACTTTCAAGTGGTACATTCAAGAGATACCACTGCCTTTCCTCTTCCTCCCTGCTGGGCTTCATTCATTGAGCTGAGGAGGAGAGCCTATTGTAGGGAAATCCTGCATTGCCCTTAGCCCTTGACTTTGACTTATTTTTTCCAAATGCAAATGTCAACCTTCCAAAATATTTTTGATGGCTTGAAAAAAGACCACATTGTGACTCTGGAATCCCCTTTCAGAGACCCTCTCCCTGATGTTTTTAAAGGAAATGACTGGATTCTGCACAGACCATGGAGTTCAAGCTCTTCATCTTTAAGCTGGGCCTGTGGAGGCCTTTGAATGGTCTTGAACTCTCCTTAGGGTCAGGAGATCACCTTTGTGCAAAGAACACACACACACACACCTTTTGCCTTTTGCTGTCTGTGTCATGTTCAGAAGATTCCACTTCACTTGTCCCTGTGAGAATTGGATTTTGGAAACAAGGATTGGTGATAAAGTTTCAGGAGACCCATTTTCCCCATGTAAATTACTCTTTCAGAAGTAGATTTCCCTTCCTTCTGAGGGATAGATCTCTCTTACTTTCTGTTGTCTTAACTAAGAGTCATTAATAAGTAGGATGTAACTCGGGGAGGGCCTGTATACTCTATTACTATCTGAGACTGTATTTTGTGTTATTGTGTTCATGGGTGGTCCCAGTCTTGGGAGACTCACCGCCTGGCCCCTTTCTTGAGGTGCCCACCTTTGCGCTCCTTTCCCTCCTCAGATCTTCTCCCTGGGCTACTGTCCGACAGGCGAGTGGTTGGCGGTGGGCATGGAGAGCAGCAACGTGGAGGTCCTGCACCACACCAAGCCCGACAAGTACCAGCTCCACCTCCACGAGAGCTGCGTCCTTTCACTGAAGTTTGCTTATTGTGGTGAGTGGCCTGGGGCAGGAGGGTCCCTGGGTTGTTGGGTAAGAATGCACTGATGGGGAAAGCGTGCCGTTGCAAAGCCAAGGGACGTGCCGCCGGACTAAGGGGGGAAGTGTGACCCATGGGACCCCTTTCTGAATCAAGGGCTGCTGTAAATCAGGGGCCATCTTTGGGAAGCCCTACCTAACACATCAGTGGCTTTATGGAAGAGCAAGAAGGGACTTTGTTATTTCTGTTTGGAATCAGAGCTATTAGGTTAAAAAAAATGACCCTCGCTTGGGGTGATTCCGCCAAAAATATAGCAGAGTGCTGGAAGCAGACTTCATAACCAGCAGAAACTTATGTGTGGTGAGTCGAGATTAGCTTCCATTGAACGGGATGGAACAGGATTGCAGAGACAGAATTTTAGGTTCAAAATATTTATTCTAGATACAGAAGGGTCTTGGAGCTAACTAGCTTACTAAGTCTCATCTTCTAAGAAAGGTAAAAGGATAAACTATCAAAAGTATCCATGCAGCTACATTTTGCCTGGAGAAAGGCAAAATGCATCCTCACTGGAAGGGAGACAAAAGCAGCATAAGGGCAATGGAGAATCACCACGTGGCCAAAATCCAGGGCAATAAAAATACCTTTAAAGGGGAAGTTACCTCATGCCTCACAGAGATTCCATTGCTACATCTTCAAAGGTGGAGGAGGTAGTGGCAAGGAAGAAGAGTAAACACAAAGCCCCTTCTGGGAAAAGCATGCATAGGAATGGGGGGAAAGGATTCCCTTGCTCTAATGCTATTTTTAAGTCTAGCTACTCATTGAGGACTGGAGCCTTGTACAGTCCAGGGATGCAATCGAACAATTTCATTAAGGCATATATAGTTGCAGTAATTGTGAATGGCTGCCTTCAATGGAGAGCCCACAACTGATAAGAGGATGCAAGCAAAGGGCAAAGCATACCATTGGTACGATCATTGATTGAACTGGATTAGATGGCAGTATAGACTCATATAACGCAATCTGCATTGTATGAGTCTACATCAGGCATGGGCAAACCTTTGCCCTCCAGGTGTTTTGGACTTCAACTCCCACGTTAGGAATTGTGGGAGTTGAAGTCCAAAACACCTGGAGGGCCGAGGTTTGCCCATGCGTGGTATAGACTTATATAATGCAATTCAAACTGCATTATTATATGTCAGTGTGGATGGGGTCTCTGTTTGTGTATTTGGAGCAGAGGGGCATTTAGAAAAATCCACTCTTAAAGTTGTTGAAATCTAACATATTGGTGAAACTTGGTCTCATTGCTTTCACCCTGACTTACACAAAAGATATTTACAGGTTTTGGATGTTTTAAAATGTTCCTCGGGGTCACTCTTGGCTTCTAATCTGGGGGCATTTCCCCTGCTTTTCTTGCAGGGAAGTGGTTTGTGAGCACTGGGAAGGACAACCTGCTCAACGCGTGGAGGACTCCCTACGGAGCCAGCATATTCCAGGTAGGAGGACCTCTTGATCGCCTTGGGTTTTGTTTGGGGGATTTGGGAACCAAGCAGAATGGCTCAGGGACATGAGATGTTTAGCTTGGCGAAGAGAAGACTGAAAGGGGATAAGAAGAGATGCCTAGTAGATGGTGGTGCCAGCTTGTTTTCCGCTGCTCCAGAGACCAGAACATAAACAGATGTGAGAAAGGAGATTCCACCTCAATATTAGGAAGAACTTCTGGTCTAAGAGCAGTTCAACCTCAGATGGTGGTGGACCCTCCATCTTTGGGGGTCTTCAAACATAGTTTGGGTGGTCATCTCTGGAGAATGCCTTGGTCATCAATTCCTTCCTGGCAGATGGCTGGACTAGGTGACCCTTCAGTTCCAGTTCTGTGATTTGGACAATCTAAACCAGGGTCAGAAAACCTTAGTTCTCCCCATTTTCTAAGATGTGTTCATTCTTTAGCTGGCATCCTCAAAACTGCAGCCTTCCAGCTGTTTGGGCCTCCAACTTCCCGAAGCCCCTATTGCCATCTTGTTCAATGATCTGGAATTCTAGAGTTGGGTTTTGAGGATATTGGGTTTTGAGGATGCATGTTCTATAGTTTCCTATCTTGATAGTGGTGCAACGTGGTAAGATGGAAGAGGGTTCTTTACACTGCCAGCACTAAGATATTTTAAAACCTCATTGCCCCCCTTTGCCTTTGGTTGCTTCCCTCCAGTCGAAAGAATCGTCCTCCGTCTTAAGCTGTGACATTTCGGCCGACGACAAGTATATTGTGACCGGCTCCGGGGATAAGAAGGCCACTGTTTACGAGGTCATCTACTGAGCGGCTTTTCAGGGAAGGACGTCACGCTCCAGGCTGGATGAGATCCGGTCGAACGTCACAAGGGACTCCGGCCGATGGACCCAATGCAGGGGGCAGCTGAACGTCCCGTCATGATCCTGCCTTCGGAGTCAATGCAACCAGAGTGGATCTTGGAATCATCCGGGCAAATTCGAGGCCTTACAGCTTGGTCCTGGATGATTTGCTATGAGAGAAGTTTCACTTGGGAGACCTCGCCAAGATGGCATCTTTTATGATGCCTTCAGGAGGCGAACAACATCCATTGGCTTTTCGACAGAGATGGTGAAGTTCTTGCCTCTCTGCCAGACTTTTGTGAAATGTAAATAGTGGATGAGTTTTAATACGGCGAGGGGCAGTGATTTCGACTACGTATTTTGGCTTTCCATCTACCTTATTTGGTCTGCTGTAAACTCCATTGCATTGGGGATATCATTGGTGATGGTGGACACCCATCTTCCCTGTTGAGTTGGTGATTTGAGTCCATTGGCATTGATGATTCGTTGGCAATCGACATCTTCTCATTTGGTTCATTGACGATGACCATCTTCTCGTTTTTCCATTGGTGATGGCCAACTTCTCATTTGGTCCATTGATGATGGTTATCTTCTCATTTGGTCCATTGACGATGGCCATCTTCCTGTTTGGTCTATTGATGATGGCCATTCTCTTTTCCATGGATGTCTTTGAGGTACTCCACCACGAAAGCTGTTCCTCCAGGGATCTGAATCTACCGTCATCCACACAAACAGCCCCTTGTTTTGATCCATTGATGATGGCCATCTTCCTGTTTGGTCCATTGGTGATGGCCTCCTTTTTTCCATGGATGTCTTTGAGGTTCTCCATCATGAAAGCTGTTCCTCCAAGGAGTTGAATCTACCATCATCCATACAAGCGGCCCCTTATTTTGTGCTGGAACGGGTTTTGGAGGATATTGGTTGGATCTTCCTGCTTTTTGGTAGCAACTTCAACCAAACTCTTGTGTCCTTTTTCTTCTCTGGATTTCTCTCTCTCGTTTTTGGTTTGTTTTTCAAGAAGCACTTGTGGGTTTGGAGCAAACAAGGATATCTCGTGGGCTTTCCATCAATGGAGAATCTCTTTTTTTGTTTTGTTTTTTCCTCCAAGAAAGCAACAGTTAAACAATACGCTCAGGGAGCCAAGGGAAAATAAAGAAAATCGCAACTGACGTGGGATTTTTTTTAACTCCAATGAAAATTAATCTAATAGAGATGATAATGTTTTAAATACAGGTTGTTTTTTGTTTTTTTTTAAGTTTACTAACAAACGTGGTTTCTGTGGGGAGGGGGCCACAACAGTGTTGGTTTCTGGTGGCTTTTGCTGGTCTTTGGGGAAATTTGGGGAGAAAGGAGGGCGGGAGACCCGTCTTGGTGCAGTTTTTGTACTCAAAGGCGTCCACAAAATCTAAACCATGGGAAATTGGCGTATTTGTGTAGCAGAAGATCTCGCCCTGTAATGTAGCAGATGGAAGTGAATTTTTATACCACATTTTTTATGGATTATTTTTTAATTTTTGATTTTGATCTGGTTTAAAAAAAAAGAGGAGGAGGAGAAGAAGAAGTAACTATGGATTTAAAAAGGTGAAAAGAAAGAAAGAAAGGAAAACTACCTGTTTTTATTAAAGGTCATGCTGGTGCATAAAGGAAAATGGAGTGTGGAAGTTATTTGGGCCTGTTTTGGTTTTGGACGGGTTAGTTGGCTCTGGTTCAGGAACGTTTGCCAAAATAGTTCAGATGGGTTTGGGGGAAGAACTACATTGGGTCCGCGGTTTCCGCTGGGGTTTGTTTCCAGGAATCCCTGTGGATACTGAAATCCATGGATGCTCAAGTCTCATTATATACAATGGAGTATTTTATTTATCGTGTCAGAATTGAGTTTAGCATACAGTTAACATGTATTTAAAAACACAAACAAAGTTTAAAAACTTGGCATTATGCTAAATGTCCTTTGGCCAGTGGCTGGTCACTTAGAGTGCCTCTGGTCTCGCTGTGAGAAGGTCCTCCATTGCACATGTGGCAGGACAGGTTGCATTGTAATAGTGGTCTGTGATTTGCTCTTCTCCACACTCGCATGTTGTGGGCTCCACTTTGTAGCCCCATTTCTTAAGACTGGCTCCGCATCTCGTGGTGCCTTCCAGGTCACTGAATCTTCTGTGGGGTCCAGGGGGCAGTTTCTCATCCGGTCTGAGCCACTGATTGAGGTGCTGGGTTTTAGTCTGCCACTTTTGGACTCTTGCTTGCTGAGGTGTTTCTGCGAGTGTCTCTCTTGATCTTAGGAAGTTGTTTCTTGATTTAAGTCATTGGCATGCTGGCTGATATCCAAACAGAGGATGGTCCAGAGATGTCAGTGGAGTAGTACAATGGGAATAGTCAAATTATGTAAAATGGTGAAATTGTGCTTTGATTTATATATATATACTAGCTGTCTCCTGCCACGCATTGTTGTGGCCCACATGGGGATTCTATGTGGGAGGTCTGGCCCAATTCTATCATTAGTGGGGTTCAGAATGCTCTGGGATTGTAGGTGAACTATAAATCCCAGCAACTCCAACTCCCAAATGTCAAGATTCTATTTTCCTCAAACTTCACCAGTGTTCACATTTGGACATATTAAGTATTTGGGTAGAGTTTGCTCCAGATCCATCATTGTTTGTGTCCACTGGATGTAGGTGCACTACAACTCCTGCCCACCAAACCCTTCCAGTATTTTCTGTTGGTCATGGGAGAACTGTGTGCCAAGTTGGTTTAATTCTATCGTTGGTGGGGTTCAGAATGCTCTGTGATTGTAGGTGAACTACAAATCCCAGCAACTACAACTCCCAAATGACAAAATCATTTTTTTTGAGTGAAGGACATACATTGGGTTGTTAGGTGTCTTGTGTCCAAATTTGGTGTCAATTCATCCAGTGGTTTTTGAGTTCTGTTAATCCCACAAACGAACATTACATTTTTATTTATATAGATATTTTCCTCTGGAATGTTTTCAAGCTGTTGATGGTTGGAACCATGCATGCAGAATTTGTGGATACAAAGGGCTGACTGTAGCCATGCCATGGGTTTGGGTTGTTGGACCTGGTCTCTGGGGGCCAAGTTTCCAATGCAGGCTCAACCATAGAAACCCACTGAGTGGCCTTGGGCAAGTCACACTCTCTTGGCCTCAAAACTCCTCTAAAGAAGCCTCTGCTTAAGAAATAACTTGTGGGTATTGAGTTAAGTAGTAACTAACAGTTTGGGTTTAAAAAGGATTTCACAATGTTACAATTGACTGATGTTACTATTTTGGTGTTTTGGTTTGCTGGTTAACTCCAGTTTTTACTTTGCAGGATGTTTTTGGAAATATTTTGACAATAACTTGCTGGTGGAGTTTCACACCAGTTCTTTTTCTCAAAACAAAGCAACAAAGACAGCAACAAGTAGCATAAATGAGCTACATCCATAGTTGTGCAGTGGTGAAGAGCATAGCTTGGAAGAGAGGAGCCCTTCTGGGTTGGTGTCTCCATCCTTCGTATGTTTCAGGCCTTGCAACCTTTTTGTCCCTAGCCCAGACCCATGGGATGTGGAGTCTGGAAGACCAGGAGGTCACCAGGTTGCAATAGAGCATTGTGCAAAGAAATGGACCAAAGAGAGAGTCTGGAGAGTGCCTTAACTAACACCTCAATGGAAGGGATTAATTGATTTTGCCCACTGCAGAATATCCGTATTCACTTTCTAGGTGCCTGATCCCTTCTATGGAGATGATTAGATGTTTTTGCCAAGCACAGAATATCCACATCTGCTTTCAGGTTGCAATAGTTGTGTTGTTCATGTGGAGTCATTGGACCTGGATGGACTTGCATGCTTGGTGGTGCATTTGGCGGCACATTTGACACCTTGCTTTAATTGCACGGCATTGTACCACAATCGTTGTGTCATTCTAAGTATGTATAGTTAGGTTTTCCAACCTGGATGGAAGGTTTACATGTGAAAAGAGATAATTCTGCTGGTGGTCATAGGGAAACCACCAGCTGAATGTGAGCCAAGAGTGTGATGCAGCAGCAAAAAAGGCCAATGCAATGCTTGGCTGCATCAATAGTAATATAGTGTCTAGGGAGGTTTCTCTATATATAGTTCACTGGAAGGGATCTAGGAGACTTTGTAGACCATTAACATGAGCCAATAATATGATGCAGCAGTGAAAAAGACCAATGCAATGCTAGTCAGCATCAGCGGAAATATAGTGTCTAGGGAAGTTTCTCTATATATAGTCTATTGAAAGGAATCTAGGAGTCATAGGAAGACCACTGGTTGAACATAAGCCAAGAGTGTGATATGGCAGCGAAAAAGGCCAATGTGATTCTAGACTGCATTAATAGCAGTATACAATGCCTAGAGAAGTTTCTATATAGTCCATTAAAATGATCTTGGAGTCTTAGAACACCATTAACATGAGTCAAGTGTGCAATGCAGCAGTGAAAAAGGCCAATGTGACTATTAGGCTGCATCAATGGGAACATAGTGTCTAGGGAAGTTTGTATATAGTCTATTGAAAGTGATGTAAAAGTCTTAGTAGACCATGAGCATGAGCCAAGAGTGTGCTGTGGCAGCGAAAAAGGCCAATGTGATGCTAGGCTGCATCAGTGGAAATACAGTGTCTAGGGAAGTTTCTCCATATATAGTTCACTGAAAAGAATCTAGGAGTCATAGGAAGACCACTGGCTGAACGTAAGCCAAGAGTGTGATACGGCAGCGAAAAAGGCCAATGCAGTACTTGCTGCATCAATAGGAATATAGTGTCTAGGGAGGCTTCTCTATATATAGTCTGTTGAAATGGATCCAGATGTTTTAGTAGACCATGAACATGAGCCAAGAGTGTGATACGGCAGCGAAAAGGGTCGATGCGATGCTTGGCTGCATCAATAGGAATATAATGTCTAGAGAGGTTTCTCTATATATAGGCCATTCGAAGGGATCTAGGAGTCTTAGTAGACCATGAACATGAGCCAAGAGTGTGATATGGCAGCGAAAAAGGCCAATGTGATGCTTGGCTGCATCAATAGGAATATAGTTTCTAGGGAGGTTTCTCTATATAGTCCATTGAAAGGGATTTAGGAGTCTTCGTAGACCATGAACATGAGCCAAGAGTGTGATGCGACAGCAAAAAAGGCCAATGCACTTCTAGGCTGCATCAATAGGAATATAGAGTCAAGATCGAGGGAAGTCACAGTCCCACTTTATTTTGCTTTGGTCAGAGCTCACCTGGAATAACCCTATGTCCAGTTCAAGAAGCATTGGGACATGGCCAGAGTTGGCCTTGGTCAAATAAGCCCAATGTGGGGCTCTCCTCCTTCATCTTCCCTGACCATTATCCTTTCCTATCCATTTGCAGACTCCTTTGCCTTTTGCAGACCCATCTCCTCTCTTGTGTTTTCCTCTCCGGCTTTTATCTTGCTGAAGATATTACATTTTCTGCTTTGACCTTCCTCGCTTTGATCTTTATCTTGCTTTGAAGCCTGGTGTTTTTTATAGAAACGTATTGACTTTTTCCCCCTAGTTCTTCGACCAGAGACTTGAGTTGAAAGCCAGGGCCATTCCTTGTGAATTAAAGAGAAGGAGGACATAAATAATCCAGGCTTTTTGGCAAAGTTGGCAAAGAGAGACGGGCTTTTGAAAATGGCTGCAAGGGATGGAAGAGGAGGGACCATAGATTCATAGAATCACAGAGAAACTAAACATAGGGGAAAATAAGAAAACGAACAGCAAGCACTGAGGCATTCAGAATAGCAGGAAGAAAGAGGTTTTTTTCTCCAGGGAAAGGTTGCATGCAGGCATTTTTGAGTCAACGCTGGCTCATTGAATTAAAAAGAAAGGGCTGCCAGTTCAAGTGAGCCACAATCCAAGCCCCTCTCTTTCTCTGGGGGGAAAAATCCCTGGAATTGTAAATGTCAGAGGAGGAATGAAGCCCTCTGTCCATTTCCCCAACAATAAAACCCAGGCTTGTTCATGACTCCAGCTGGACTACTTTGCGTTCTTTCCAAAGCACATGTCGTTCCTTCCCAAATCTGAAGCAGAGCCTTGGCTTTGCCTTTGTGGGCTCCCCCCCCCCATCTTTCTATATCTCCCTTTCTTCCAAAGGGATTTGGGCTTTCTGAGACCAGGGGTCCATTCTACGTTGTGGAATTAATGCAGCTTGACACCACTTTGGATCCCTGCTATCGAATCCTGAGAACTCTGGTTTGCACTCTTTTGGCAGAGGATGCCAAAGACCTTGTCAAGCTACCACTCCTCTTTCTCACAATGCACCAGGAAATCTGCTTTGATTCCAACTCTTAGACTACAAGTCCCAGAATCCCCATTCATCCAAAAGGGGCCTTTCCCAAGCGCTGCCATTCATTCTGCATTAATCTGGTTACTTTAGGCCAATACGTACATTTGTGTTGATGTCTGTTCATTCATTTTCTTTGCTCTGGGAAGTTAGCCAGATGTGTACATGATGGAGAGATTGGATAGAATCTGTTGAACTATCTTGTTTCCCTCCCTCTTTTCTCTCTTCCATCCTTCCATCAGGCTTCCAACTTTCCATCCATCTTTCCTTCCTTCTTTCCATCCATCCATCCATCCATTCATCCATCTTTCCATCCTTCCATTTGCCCTTCCTTCCTTCCTTCCTTCC